AATGCGGACCCTAAAGTTTGCTGGCGACGCCTCAGGTTCTTAGAGTGAGGCGTCGCCGCGTTTCCGAACTTTTGTCTTAACACAGCCTGCCAACTGGGCACAGAAAAGGACGGTGGTGTCAAAGCCCCAGAAGCGTGCGTACTGACTGTCCACCGGCCTGGAACATTATAAACACCAGTCAGTACGCACGCTTCTGGGGCTTTGACATCACCGTCCTTTTCTGTGCCCAGTTGGCAGGCTGTGTTAAGACAAAAGTTCGGGAACGCGGCGACGCCCTCACTTTAATTACCTGAGGGCGTCGTCAGCAAACTTTAGGGTCCGCATTTGCGGTTGCCAAAGAGCATTTAATGCTAACCACATCGGACGATCCAAAGGGTCAAAGTTGGGGGCTGCCCCCATCGATCGACGGTTCCGAACTTTTTCTGGCGGGTCCAATGGCAAGAGCGTGCGTACTGACTGACACCGGTCGCTCGCCAGCCTGCTTGGAGTGGCCGGTCCTACGAGTGAAATATAAGGCCATTTTGACATATAGTAAAACCACTGCATGCGGGACAGGTCAGCTCAGCCTCATGACTGCGATAACTCTCGTGTGACCTAAGAGGCGTGTGACCTAAGATAGGCACCCGGGGGACGGGTGGGGTTGGTATGGTGGTTAGGGTGGGTTGGGGTGCGGAGCGGGTGATTATTTGTGTTAGGTTTTTAGTTTGAAGTGCCCGGGTAACTCGTATCTTAGGTCACACGCCCGTTAGGTCACACGAGAGTTACCGGTATAGCCTCATGCAGGTCAGCTGAGAAAGTGAGAGGTCGAGCAGAGCAGGTAGAGCTAGGCGTTTCCAATGCCCTTCAATTCAAGTTCACGAGCTCTTGAAGGCCCCACACAAGCGATCTCAGACTGGAGGATTGGCACAACAGTTTTGCCACATTGCAGCGCAGATTAACTCGTTCTCCGGTGAATTCAAGGAGCACCACCACCACCACCTTCAATTGACATCAGCGCCACCACTTTCCTCATCTCTCCATATCAAGAAAGTTGCATCACAGCATTGGTGCATTCAATGTCAAATGCTGACACTTAGAAATGGCGGAAGAAACGGAATTGGCTGTCAGCATTCCCTGTGCTTACACCATAGAAGCCCTCATCAAGCTCAAAGTGATCCGGGTGTTTGTGTACGCTAGGCTCGATTGCGTTCATGACCACCCCCAGAACCAAAGAACCGAGTGCCAACTCGATAGCAATAAGGATAGCACTGAATGTCCCAGCTCAGTGGTTCCTTCTATGACTGGGGCTGAAGTTGCCCTGGTTGATAAGGGGGGAGCGACAGTCATCCAAGTTTCTATTGCGGACTCTCGAGCAGACTCTTGTAGAAAGCAACGTCGTATGATTTCTCTGCCGGAAGAAGTGGTGATTGACAGACAGTCTCTGAGTGTCATCGAGCGCCCCGACCACCTGGAGCTGAAGTTGCAGATTGTGGCATCGCTTGGTGAGGGCAACTGGGGAGCCGGGAGCAGCTCAAGCAACACCGAGATGAAGACGTTCCAGGAGAAAGGGTGCTTTGCATGTGGAGGGTGCGGACAGCCTGTAGTAGAACAAGGAATCAAGTGAGTGCTCAATCGATGACTACAAATGATGAGAGGCATGTCTCTCAGATTCTGACAAGTGTTTCATGCTAAGATCGATCAAGTGTCCCACACAAAGATCTGTTGATGTTACTCACGAGCTTGTTAGCTAAAGTATGATTGACTTTTACATGCCTGTCAGCTAGTTGGTATTGAGCTGAAGCTATTAGTAAGAGGAGCTGAAGCTGTGTCATACCATGAAATTCGCAGACTACACATTTTGGAGAATCATTCCTTTTACTCGTCAGGATGTTGCGGCCGTCCCTGAAAGACCTCTCACCCAGCTAATGAACTATTCACCTGTTCCTTGGTGCGTAAATACTTCGATGGCTTTGGTGGACGAAATCGGTCTCACAGTGTCCCTGAGAGCTAGGCAGAGTTTCTGTTGCCAGGTTTCTAAGGCTTCGATCCTAGCACTGTGCTCCTCCAATATTGGATTATTTCGTATAGTGTCCACTTGCAGACTCCCTTGGCGGTTGTCAAAGACGCCTTGGACGCGTTCCAGCCACAGATCATTGTTGTCTCCTCCAATCTGTTCCATCTTGGGTTACATACAAGGACGGTATGAACAAGGACTTCCTGATCGAAGAAGCATAAAAGTTGCACTATCAACCCTGTCAATCAAGTACCTACCTCCTGAGAAGAGGCAATCTCTCGGCTCAACCGTCCAGCTTTCTCACCGCTTGAGTCCTGATTGCAGGCACTTCTTCCCGATGCCGTCTGAGAACTGGGAAGAGCTCGCAGACCACTGGTTCGATCTGCAATGTGGGTGCGGTGGGCCCGTCAAAGCTTCGAACCTGGCCCGGAAAGTGCAAGCGCGCTTGGTCCCAACTCGAGCCACGTGCCTCGTAGGCACCACGAGCTACTTGCTGCATGAAAGCGACCTTGTCGCAAGCGGTGGACAGAAGGAAAGGGAATGGGGCTCTCTGCCAAATGGCCTCCCGGTTGGAAACCAGCCTCTCAACACGGAGAGAGCAGTTACGGAGTCGTTGGAAAGAAGCTCGAGCGATGGAGCTGGTTCTTCAGAGGGTGATGCCACGTCACGGGAGGTTTTGCAGCGGCGACGACAGAGTGTCATGCATGTTACAGACGAGCAGTCGCTTTACAGTGCAGCAACAATGAGCCCTGCATTTGAGACGCCTGAGTCCGTTCCAATTCAACGAAACAACAGTCAGGATGAGGATTGTGAGCCGACCGCCTCCAAAAGCGAACCAAGCAACGAGTTCGACAGCAGTCGTTTGGACGAAGGAAGAGAAGAGGAGAGTGGTGTGGCTCCTGCTTCGTGCTGTGGACACGTGGAGTCGGCTGCTGACGTGGCAGTCGAGCTGGCGCCGGAACGCATTCAGGAGCTGGCAGAAGGGCCGATTGAGGTAACGAAAGTGAACACTGTGATTCCGAAGGTCTCTCACTTTTTCTCTTCCGGGCGAGGTTATTCATTGAGTGCTCTGTCCACTTATTCGAAGGTACTGCGCTTGTCTTTCAGGTGAATATTGCCTGTGCTTCGAGGAAGTTCTTCCCTATGCTTCGAGGAAGTTCTTCCGCCTCTATTCAATTTTTGGCTGCAGTCTTCTACGCATAGATTCAAAAGCGTTTGTGATCCCAACGGTTATCGTCATTGTGACCTTCGCAGCATAGGGGCGAGCGTCTCAATCACTGCCGATCAGTATCCATGGGCTTCTTTGAACAGATTCTTGGACCTCCTCGAGGACCTTTACAACAACCACGTGACAAAGTGCCTATCTTTAGATCTTTCAGTTGCAAAGCATGAAAATCTGCAGTCAGTCGGTTGAAAGGGAACTTTCTCAAACGTGTCCAAAAGTGGGACTTCTCGTGAACCTCATCGAATCCTGATAAATCTCGTTAAGCCTCGTCGGCTTCCTAATCGACTTGCAAACGGACGTGCAGCCGACCGAGCCCCTCACGGGCGCCCACAAGTGGATCCGCGTCCGTTGCCCCTGCTGCACGGAAACGCTAGGAGTGCGTCGAGCCACAGGTCAGGCTTCCTTCCGTTTCTTGCCCGTTCCGTTCCGTTGGTCGCCCAGGTCGGTTCATGCAGTGAAGCTGGACCTTGTACTTACACTGAGGATCCTCTTCGATCGGGGCTCCTTCTCTTGCCGCTCTCTGCAACCCCTTTCGAATTGAAAATCAACCTCACCAAGCCCAGGTTGGCTTGCCTTACCGATGGTTGTATTCTTCTGATTCGTTGGGCCATTCCGCTCGTCCACTCCTCTGTCGGGACCACCGTTCCGTTCGCTTGATTCCCCATGCTGTCCCACGCTAGGCTCGCAGACGTGCGGACGAGCCAATCACCTGGAAGCAACACTTCCACTTTCTTCTCTGCGCCGCTTCCATGGAACTCGACACACCTTTGAAAGCTTGCGTTTCTTCCTACGTTGGAAGTTGCCCCGTGAACTGGAGCTAACGTCGGCATGACGTCATCCGTGTGCAGAGGACCAAACGACAGCCAGCCCAGGCGTGTATCTTTTCAAGCACCGTGTGGTACTGTGCGGGGGAGCCTCGACTTCACCAAGTCGAAAGATCACGTGAGTCTGCATCTCGTCTGGCTTGTTGGGTAGAAATGAGTGCACGTGATCATAGTTGTTTTGCCGTCCTAATCTGCTAAAAGTGAAAAGCGCCAGCCTCTCGGGAATAACCGCTCTGCCCGTGTCACATCTGCCCGTGGTTTGATTCTGTAACCCCGCGTGTTAGAGGACTGTATTCGTGGTCCGCTCACTTCACCTTGGTCGTTGGACTTTTCAGCCAGAAGTTTTGCTTTCTCAGTGCTTCGTTCTGTTTTTGCATCGGTTACACCTGCATTGCCGGCGAACAGTTCAAATTCTGCCTCTTCAACGCTGTCCGTTCCTTCCCTAGGGCTTCATCCGTCTGCGGTTCTCACTGACTGTTCAAATCGCTCTGTTCAGAATCAGATACGGTTCGTTCGCTACTGCGACGAACAGAACCCCCCAGCCCGATTAGCAAACGACAAATGAAACGTTGCTGTCTTCAGCTAATCCGCATCTCGTCTGCCAGGCGCGAGGCCCTGTTGGCACACTTCTCGGCACGGCTCCAGCAGGCCGCGGAGCAGAGCCTCTGCTCGCGCTTCCTTCTACAAGGCCTCCTCACCGGAAAGCCGTACTGCCACGTCACGGTCCTCAGCCGAGAGACGTTTGTCTGGAGCGGCCTTTTAAACGGGAGCGGCGACGGCAGCCAACGGTCGCAGGGTTTGAAGGTTCTTCTGACATACCCATCGGACGCCGTGGCGGGGTGAGTAAGAATCTGGATTTGTATGTTGAGCAGACAATGCTCTTTTATTGATGGTGGAGAGAAACAGTGACCTACTCTCAGTTTTTCAGTCGTTAGGTCGACAATGCGTTTCGACCGGGTTGGTAAGGTACGGGAATCCAACTTTCGCAGGCGCGAGCGTACGAGTTTAGTTCACCAATCAGTGCCCCGAGTGTGAAGCGACCCATTTCGATTTGCCCAGGAGCGGAGTTGCCAAAAGCTGTCTGGTCATGGCACGGCTTCGTCTTCTTACATGAACATGGCTCAGATACGGTGTGCTGGAATTTAAGTGCTGTAGACGCAGTTACAAATATTATTTGTCTCGTAGCAAAGAGCGGACTTCCTCGCTGGAAACACATACGGATTGCGCTTCCGCCTGCAGCACGCCCGCGGATCCGAAGCGGAGTAACCAGTTCGAGAGAGTCTTCCTTCTAGAGGACGACGCAGAGGAGCTGCTTCGCATCCTGGTCGCCAACAATGAGAAGTACCCGCTGTCGTGTCGAACCCTTAACCGTGCATCGCTGAGCTTCCTATAGGGAGAGTACGAACCGTAGGCAGTTTACAAATCTTCGTAAGCTATCTTGGCAGCTTGACCTGGCAGCGGCGCTCAAGCTCCGAATATTGATCACCCGGAAGCAATGGGTCGACATACTATTTTCAGTCAATCGAAATATGACTCTATTGACCCGGATCCGGACTCCGACAAGGGGAAGGTCCTTGCTTCTCTGATTTACAGCCAGTCAGTTGTGTGTAACAAGATCTTGGTATCTAGCTCGACCAGGAGATTGACTCCCTGGCACCAATCACTAGCGCACGGACACCCACTTTACATGCTCAACTACAATGTGCCGTTTAGTATTCAAGTCCGACTTCATGTTATTGCTTGGGAGGGGAAAAGCGGCGAGGCGCGACGGATGCCACGCCGCGGGCCATTCGCGCCTGGGCTGCGCGGCGGCCAATTGTAAGTAATGGAATTCTGTGCGTGCTGAACTGCATACCACATGGCACTGTTCAATTAAGATTGGAGTCACGTACGTCAGCTACAGTCCGGAAAATTGATCGTCGGTATGATCTTTATGGTTAAGCTCACAGTGAGCTCAGAGTTTCATTGAGTTTCCGCTGGCCCATGCAGCGGTATTCGGGTATCAAGTTGTTACCGTCTCCAACATAACGCTTGCATGAAACGATATTGGCACTTTACTTGGCATGGTACATAGGCACTTGAATGTGCGAGTTTTACGTGCGCGGGCCACAATCGATCACTGTAACACGTCCAAATGAAGCCGGACTCACCATGCTGCCATGAATTAGTATACATTCTTGTAAGTATGGCACGATTGCATGGCGGCTGCTTGGTGAGTAGGAGCCATGAGCCGGATTGAATGCTAGCTCGATTCACTATCGACAGCCCTTGACTGATTCCTGTTCCTCATGAATGCTATTAGCAAGACGTCTCGATTTTCAGCAGCGCGCGGTATACATCGAAATTACATTCGATGCAGCCATGCAGTTGATCTGGAAATAGGTACTGTCGAGGCGTTATTCTTCAGGGCTTTGTAGTACGCGGCCGTGGTGAGTCCTGGACCAGTCTCATGGAACCTCGCGATTTGCGCCAGGCATCCGAGATGTTCATCAGGCCTGGCAATTTCGATTGTAAGTCTACATTGTTAATTGTTTGACCAAATATCAGTCCTCTTTAGTACTTATCCGCACAGATTCGAAACTGAAACCTCGTTCATTGAACTGGTGACCTGAGCTCACATAACAATACGCGCTCTCGCTATTCCTGCTTGACTTTGAATTTTTTGACCCCGCAAGCAGCCCCCGCTGTGCAACTTGCGGCGCGCAGTGTGATCCAGTCTGTGCATGCAGCTATCCTCAGTACTGTCGCGCTCTTCGCTTTACCTCGCTTCACTTGCTTAACCTAATGACCGAGCTACTTGATTGATCTACGGTTCACATGGTACATTATGGACATACCGACAGATGCTTAAAGTTTGACTCTAATGCAAGCGCCCCTCATCCAAGCAAGACTGCTGTTTTGACGGATTTTGGTTGACGCGGGTTGGCACTTTTTCTACACCCAGCGGACATTTGGACGCGCCTTCTCAGCAGCAGCCGTCGTCCGCAACAGAGAGCGACGCGTTGCCACTGGCGACCTAGTAACTGGAGTCCGACTTTGACGGTCCCCTCGCAATACCGGTAACGCCCATTTTACATGAGAGCCATTGCACTTAGGATCCAAGCTACCCGGGCGGACAAACTAAATTCCCTAACCAACAGCATCACCCGCTCCGCACCCGAACCCATTCTAACCACCAAACTAACACTACCCGTCTCCCGGGCGCCAATCTTGAGTGAAATGGCTCTTAATCGAAATGGGAGTTACCAGAATTGCCTCGCAGACCAGGTAAAGGGGCGACCAAGGACTGCACTTGGAGGGGCAAAGCGTCGCCGAAGCCACGTGGGCGCCCACGCCCTCATTACGTCAGCGCTCCTTGCTTGACGAAGCTCTTGATGGTGCTTACCAGCAACGGCATGTTGATCGGTTTCGTGAGGTACCTGGCATGAGGAAAGTAGCCAGGATGCTTGAAAGAGTCCCCGGAGCCTTCCATTATTTGCAGAAGAGAACCGACTCGCGTGCGTCGCAAATTGCGCAAAGGGAACGAACAAAGAAGGTGTCAAACGTGCCTGTTTTCAGAACGGGCAAAATTGGCCGGTCAACGATTCAAGGTCTCGTGATTCTGAAACGGGAACAAACTGCCCGTTTTTTTTGATATCGAAAGAGGGTGCCATCCGAGACGTCAGACTTTTTGTTAGAGCTTGAATCCACCCTGGCAGGACCGCTTTGCACAAGCAAGCATGGCGGCAGCATGGGTCTAGCGCGACTCCTTTTGTTTACTGACACACACTCGGCACCGCCGAAATGGATCAGAGCAGCCCAGAGTACGTCCCCAATTGTGATTAATCACCAGGGGTAGAGAAACATGCAAGTACAGAGGGGAAAAGACATTCTTCGTTGCTTAATACCTCACGTCTCAAGCCTCAAGCGGAAACTATTACAGCTTCTCCCGAGCAACCTGCCAGTTTTAGTGGGAAAATTGGTCTAAGTTAGTCAGTCTGCTGATGAGTGAAATTAGTCTAAGTTAGATGACACTAAAACTGGCAGGTTGCTCGGGAGAAGCTGTAATCACATAGAAACACGGCGCGCGTTTTCTCACCCGTCCATCCCGACCCCCAGGCACTTCTCTTTGTCAGTCGCCATTGCGTGCGCTGCACGAGAGCCACAGCGCAGATCATAGAATCAGGTCGTCGCTTCCGGCAGGAAACTCAAGAAAGACAATAGTAAGCCGAGAGAATAGTAAGGTAACCGCACTGGGACGGGTAGGGTTGGTTTGGTGGTTAGTGTGGGTACGGGTGCGGAGCAGGTGTATTTTTGGGTTAGGGTTTTTAGTGTTAGTCGGAGCTTATCAGTATCTTGGCTTACTATTATCTTTCTTGAGAGTTATGCTTCCGGCGTTCTCGGACAGCCAAATGGTGGTCAATTCTCTTCTTACGTCTTTTTGCTGACAACCGGCGGAGGCGGTCACCCCACTCTACTTACTAGTCTAGTAAATCCTGCTTGGTTGAGGGAAGAGCTTTCGTTGAAACGCGAGGTTAGATTCACGGAGCGAAAACCTCTACCAGCGAGTCAACTGTGATCCGTCACTGTTTCTTGTTTCTTCTTTGAAGAGACCAGCTAGTGATGCGAGGCTGCATCCCATTAATCGAAAGTTTCTTCGTTCTACAACGCGGGCTGCATCACAGGTGCTTGAAATAGAATAATGACGGGTAACACATTCAGTTACGAACCCTTCACTAAACAAGATAATGTACGGGATATTCAATCTGGGGTAAACAAATAACGGGAGAATCGTTTAAGAGAAATCTTTGATGTTGGATATTTGCTGAATAACTCCTCCCCTTTCAGGAACCTCGCAAGACTTGGAACGTCGAAAGAAGGGACTTTCTGCTATGCTGACACTCCGTTCGAAGCCAACCATTGTTCTCGGGCCCACCGTGCCACAAAACAAACCGCAGAACAAATCCGGCACCAGAGGAGTTCCAAGGCCCAGAGTGGAAGCGAAAACTGCCAACGAGACTGATGCGCACGTGAATCCTCGATCCGCAAACGTTATGTTCTTTCCTGGAGCTCACCCGTTAAAGCTACGATGGGCACGTGCACTTTCTCCCCCTTCTCTAGTTCCCGGATCTCGGTCGTGGCGCCGTAGCCGTCCAGCACCGGCATCTGGCAGTCCATGAGAACTAGATCGAAGCAGCCGGACGTCCGCAAGGCCTCGGCCAGGGCGTCCGCGGGGGGTCCAAATTCGGACAGCGAGGGAGGGGCTTTTTGGGCGTTCAGTTGGAGCTCCATCGCGGCCAAGATGGCGTTCACCGCCTGCGGAATACAAGAATTTCTGGAATAATTTTCTTGGGTCTATTCATCGGGAAACGGTGTGAAGAACTCGTCTAGTTCTTGGGATCCAGGAAATTGGGAGTTGGAAGTGCCGGGCTCTTCTCAACTTGAAGACTGCGAGATCAGAAGCGTTTTGGGGGCAGCTTGAGTCACCGTTGGCTCCGGCGCAGAGGAAAGAGATACTTTGACGTTGAGAGAGCATTTTCCAGGGAGCCAGACAGGGCTGTTATGTTGACTGGGGCTTCTTCGTTCAGCTTGCTCCAGATCTTACCCAATCTATTGCATAGACGGCCCTCCATCCCTGCCATCTGTGCCCGACGAAGCACAAAAAGCAAACCAGTAAAGATTCTCATTTTGGAACACATCCCAACAGTTTCTTGCCTATTGTGCACTGTCACGTAAACTGGAAGGGGCGGACAAGCGGACACCAACTCCGACTTTTTTCTTCTGAACACGACTCATCGCCAAATTCGCTCTTAAGCAAGCCTGTGTCATCTGTGGTGCTCCTCCACTCCGCAAAATCTTGGTCACCAGGAGCTTCTGAAAGAGGTATGACTCAAAACGCAGCTTTTCAAGCTATCCATAAAAGCTGTTTCCCGTCTAAGCAAATACACAGAGAGAAGAGAGCCAGCAATAAAACCTCTCTGGACATGCTTCCCATCCTATCTCCGTTTCAGAATTGGAAGCCCGAATGAAGTGATCGTGCTTGGCACTGCTTTGATCTCACCTGCCGCCCGTTCTCGACCGCAAACACACGCGCCCCGACTCTGGTCAGAATCGTCGTCGCCAGCTTTCGCAGCAGTACCGTATCTTCCACGATCAAAATGTGCACACCCGCGAGCGGCAGGCCCTCTCCCCCGGGCTCCCCTCCAGGTTTGCCAGTCGCCTTGACCTTACCCGGTTGCTTCTCACCGGTCACCTCTTGACTGACGCTCGCTTCTGCCGGCGGTGGGTTTGCGGCCCGGGGCTCCCTTATGCTCATTGTAGCCAATCTAGTTGTCATCGTCCGGGTTTCAGAGCTTGCGGACGCGGTTCTTTCAGCAAAAAGGGAGGGTGTCCGCCAATCCGTTGGAGTTTCGGGCCCCTTCTCATCGACCGCACCGCGGGTCGCAGCGAACGCTATGCCCGATTGGATCATAAGCTCTTGCCTCTCGTCTTCCGTCATAACGACCGGTTTTCTAAACGGGCGGCCTTTCGGTAACCCGTTTTCGGACTCCACTGGGGGCGACGCCGGGACTGCAGTCCCCAGAAGGGCGTCCGGATTCCGGTTGTCGCTAAGCATGGCGGTTAGCAGGGACAGCAGCCGCGACGGGTGGAGCACGTCATACGCTATGATGCCGCACCCGGAGGCCGCGCGCATCTCCTCGTACATCGCCCCGGGCAGCGCGAAGGAGACGAGCCACGCGACGGCGACACGTGGCGCGTTCGGGGCCGTCCGATCGTAGTCTCCCAGGAGGGAGCGTAGTGTGACGGATAACGCCTCGGGGCACGGGAACCCGGGCACAACTGACGTGTCGAGAATCAGGAGCAGGGACCCGGAGAAATTGCCCCGGTTGCTTTGCTTGCTCGAACCGCTTTCTCGAGGAGGCTGCACAAAGAGTTGGGGGCCCGGCGGCGCTATCTCGCTTGGCGTCGCGTCGCTTTCGCTCGGCCACAACCGGGAGGGCTTCCGGATCTGGGTACTGTTGCTCGCACTACACTGCGGACGTCCGTCCCTGTCAGTCGAAAGGTCCGCATCTTCGTCCACAGTCTCGATACGGGCGCTGTGCTTGCTGCTGAGCAATTGGGTGAACGTCTCCCGCAGGCCGCCCCACCGCTCGGCCACGTGAACCCTCAAGCCCCGCCGCGTCATCCAGGCCGCGGCCGCGGCGCGCCCCGCGGGATCCCCCTTCAGGAGCAAGACGGTGGTCCCTTCGACACGAGACAGAATGGAACGTTCTCTGCGCGGAAAGTCGGACGCAGACGCGGTGGAGGACATCCGTCGGACTTCCGGCCGTCGAGGTTCCGCTGCGGACGGCAGCGCCGCGACTTGCGATGACTTTGCCCCGGTTGCTTGGTTCCCGAGCGCTTTGAACGCCGCTTCCGGTGTGCCGAAAAAGCTTCCGTTGCCGTCGGGGGAGTCTTCCGGCGGAAGCCCGAGCACGATATGGAACCGGAAGAGACTCCCGGGCTCTGCTTTGTCCTCAATTCGAATGGCGCCCCCCATGAGGGAGACCAGGTTTTTCACCATTGCGAGGCCCAGACCGTATCCGCCGCTGTGCCGGGACCCCTGGGTGAAGCTCCCGAGGACTTCCGTCCGCCGGCTGGGTGGAATCCCGACGCCTGTGGACGAAAACCCGGAGGAGCGGTCGAGACTATAAGCGGAACACGATACCTCAGGTAAACAGGGCCCTTCAGGCATGCGATGCTTTCCTTCCTAGTGTGGGACCGTTGTTCTTCTGGGTTTCAGGCGGTGCTCCTGATTCTACAAGCCAATCTCGTATTCAGACGAAATGTTGCACTACGGGAAGTGAAAGTGGACTGCAGGCTCCTTCGGGCAAGGGACCGTGAGCAGAATATTCTGAATACTTTACGTTTGGATTAGAAGAATGAGAGGCAGCCTGAGTGGACGGGCGAATGCTCGAAGATCTTTGATGCCAGCCTTTGACACCTGAGATTCCTCCCTTGTGTTGTGGAAAGTGTGCAGCTTGATCACTCAAAGAGCAGGTTGATTCAAGTCAAAAGGAGAGGCAATAAAGGGCAACGAGGTGGCCGTCTGGATAATAATCGTCCAGATTCCCAACAGGCTTCGATGCCCTCAGAATTTGCTATAGAGCCCAAGAAGCAATGATGCAGATCCAAAAAAATTACCTGGTCTTTGAAAGCTGCACGCTATCCGAAAATACAGGTTCACCTATGCAGCGCGGCCCCTTATGCATCCGAAGAATCATTCTTTGTCGCTGACTATTCGACACTCTTGCCCCACTATGGGTGAAGTGAAAACTGGATGCAGTACTCGGTATAGGAGCAGAGAGCACAGGTTTATTGAAGAGAGAGCGCCGAACTTTACTGCTCATGCTTCAATCAAAGTGAATCTAAAAGAAGACTTACCGGTGTCGTCCACTTCGAAGACGATCGTTGTCCTCCTCAAACTCTCAACTCTGCTGGACAGTTTCTTCGACGCGACTCGAATCAACGTTCGGAACACTTTGTGGATGGGCTTTGGCGTTGATGTGGTAGCGGGCGAATCGGGCAGAACCGAAGCTCGAACCACTATATGGCCCTCATTCGTGAACTGCGCAAAGGTTGGAGCACGGAGTCATTCTTTGCCAGAGTTTCATTCTTCTTGGGCTTACGGTGCTGGTGGATGAAGCGTCGAGGTCGAGACAGACTTTTCTTTGCGACCTACTGCCAAGTACTCAAAACCGACAGGCTTGTTCAGGAGTCCCAGAAAAATTCTCCAGAAGAGCTAATCTGCTGATTGGTGCTCGCAGCAGGAAGCTCTCCCGTCTTCATAACGCTCTTCGCCCCTACCCCAGTTTTCCTACTCGCGCTACCCCTCTAACGAACAAGGAATCTCGCGTTTCATCATTTGCTAAGCGAGGGAGTAGGGCTTCCATTTAAAATCTAATACTTCTACTAAAATCAGAAATTTATCACTCTTCTCGAAACTCACCGTCACTGCATTGCCCACCAGGTTCGCCAGGATCTGCCGCACGCGCGCGCAGTCCCCGACGACTCTCCGCGGAACGCCGTCGTCCAGGTCGAGAACTAGTGCGACGCCCTTTTTGGCGGACTGCACCGCGAACATGTCCACCAGCGCCTCCAGCTCCTGGCCCAGGTCGAACGGGCCCGCCTCCAGGCTCAGCTTGCCGGACTCAACCTGGACGTCCGAAGCGCACGGAGGTCAGCGTCCGGAAAAATGGTCCTGACTTGCTGGACTCAACAAGTGGACTTCCGAAGCGCACGGAGGTCAGCGTCCGCAGGAATGGTCTCGACTTGCCGGACTCTACCTGGACGTCCGAAGCGCACGGTGTCAGCATCGGCAAGACGAGTCTCGACTCTCGCAAAAGAGAAAACTTCAGATGAGGGAAGAGTTATTTATGGCGGAGCGTCGTAAGAGTAAGACAAGTACGTGCTCCCATTCCTAGGCCAGGAGAAGGCATAATGTATCCTGGAAGATGCCAATGACTTGACCAACTCCGTTCTTTAAAAGCAGACGTCGTAGACGCGGCAGAGGCTGTAGCTCAATGATTGCAACTGATTCAAAGTAGACGACGCTTCAGAAGCTGTGGCTTCATGAATGCATTTGTTTCGAAGCAGAAAGTAGGACTCCTATCCGGAATAAAACCTCCAATCAGATCGAACTTTGAAATCCTTAGAAAGTGGTCACGTTAAGATATGCACTCCGTGTTCTGACGTTTGTCAAAGAAGTTGTGGACTACCTTGTGGAGGTCCAGGATGGACTTGAGGAGGTCTAGCAGCTGCAGCGCGCACAGGCGCACCTGCTTCAGGCTGCTGCGCTGCTCGCTGTGGAGCCGCCCGTCGCCTAGCAGCACCTCGAGGAGCCCTGCATCCGTTAGAAAGACGTTCCGTTGAAAAGTCCATTCCGTCGGAGAGATTATTCGGTTGGGAAAAAATGGTGGGAAACTGGTCCGTTCCAGAGAGCCTTAGTTGGACAAAGAGATTGTGGGGGAAGACTGTTCCGTTCCCCAAAGAGCCTTAAGCGGAGAGATCATTCATTCTCACTTTGGCACCTTAAAAATCTAGTTTGCATCTTCTCGTCTTGTACAGATCTTCCGCATACATGTGAACTGATACGGGCGTAATGAGCGAGCGGGCAGACGAAAGCAAAAGCCTTCGCGTCAGGACAACCAAAAATCAGTTTAGTCGCTTCTAGCCAGTGCCTGCCTAGGAGTGTTCTTTGAGGCCTCACCGATGATGCAGCAGAGGGGCGTCCGCACGTCGTGGCTCATGGCCGCCAGGAACTGGCTCTTGTAGTCGGACGCCTTTTCCGCCCGGTCCTTGAGCTGCAAACTGTGGATCAGCTCCGCCCTGAGGAGCATTTCCCGGCTAACCCGGCAGGTTAGCAGCACGGTTAGCACGCAACCTAGCAATAGGACCCCGGCCGTAATTGAACTGATGATGATCAGCTCCCGCAAGGAGGTCTGGTCAATGTCGTCCCAGATGACCGACCTGGGAACGGCCATAACCGTAACCTGGAAAAGAAAGGAGAAAATCAGTTGATGAGGATGAAGATTTGATGGCGTCTGCGAGACTGAGGTTTGAGGTTGCCTCGAAGAAAGGACTTTGAAGCTGAAAGTTTAGCACAGGCAAGACCACAAGCTCAAGATTTCCCTTTGAGTTGGCCAAAGGAAGTTCGTATCGGGCGAGCTTTGGTGGGGCAAACGTCTGAAACGGTTTCACTGGATCAAGCGAGGAGAGTGCTGGTAACAAGAAGGGCGGCTGAAGATTGATAAGATATAATGAGGGACGATGGACAACAAAGTTCTATGGATGAAATCCCACTTCTAGGCTGCGTTTTGAGTCGACAGAGAAGCTTCAATTGACTGACAATCGGCTATCACGCATCTGCATGTGGACCTGAGAGCTTGCAAGTCAAGCTTCCAACGGAACTGCAGTAGAAGGGAATCTCAATACCGTCGGAGTTTGGAAATCAAAAAACGGTCTGAAGAGCTTCTTTGTCACAGTGAAAAACTTCAAAGAGCGTTGGACGGGGCAGCGCTGCTGGATGGATGAGGGACACGATGTCATTAGAAGACATCAAATCAGGTTATGACAAGGAGACACTGTCCTTGCAGTCTAGTAGCGTTATTCAGAAGGCTCGAGCCCTACTATACCAATCATGTACCTCCTCCCTTGACAAGAAGTTGCAGCGCTAGCCAACCTACTTCGCAAGAACTCTTGCAATGGTTGGAAAGTCTTTGAGCTCGAGCGTTTTCAACGGTACGTACCAAGATTCTGGATTCCACCTCCATAGTGGCACCGGAGATATAGTAGCCCTCCCCCGCCAATGGCACGCTGTGGAACTGCGCGATCCCCGTTGCAGGCCACTGTTGACGAGCCGCTGGGGTCGAGAGAAAGCGCGCGGACTCGCGCATGAGCCTGTTTGACGTGTTCAAGGCTTTCAGAGTCACGTCTAACGATGCTGCAATGGAGAATGAGATTTCCTGGTGTCAGTGATTCCTGGTTCAGGGCAATCAGTCAGGAGGTTTCCCTCGTTGAAAAAGAACACGCAAAATCATCCGATTTCTTTCTCAAATCAATAATAAACACTCATAAAAACGACTCCATACTTCCACCCTGCGCCATGAATACTCCGCATCAGCTACCAGTAAGCATCCTGAGCACTAGGGGGACTTCAATCGGACAAGAGGCTACCCGAATCACAGCATTCCTTCACCGATGAGGAGGATGAATAGGATATCGCTTCAATGTACAGTTCCTAGGACGCGATTCAGTGCTCAATCAGCTTCTCGGTAAATCTGGCATTTCCTTCGAAAGAGGCGCGCCGTTTGAAGGGAGGCGATGTGGACAAGCAAAAAGAGGTGCAACTAGTGCTCCACGCCTCCGCATTTTGCTTTACCTCAAGGCAGCTTAAGCTCGAACAAAGGTCAAATGACATCTTCCTAGTATCGACTTCCAAGGGTCATTCTTAGTCTCCGCACTTGATGGTAATGTCCAAACACACCGGATCACCAAGACTGCCCTGTTGTCCTATCAACTGAGCAGCTATTGGGAGTATTCTCGCCAGTGGAACTTGCGTTCAGGTTTGACGTCCAAGTTCGACTGAGCTTGCTTCTATCCCCCCCGCCTCGTGTCCTTAACATAAATCCTACGCCCCTTCACCGTCTAGATCTCAGAAAGAAATGCTTTTCAAAAGGACGAACCAGATCATCCCAAGGACTGGGAGTCAAAAATCGAATGCGCCTTCACAATGTGATGAGTCAAATCGTTCACGCACTCACTCATTAGCGCGGGATCGTAAGTTCCGGTCAAGTCCGAGCTGGCGATGACTTTCTCGGTGTACGCCTCAGAAACATACAGGAGCCCCGCATGCTCCGGCCGAATGCTCGCGAGCAGCTGTGTGAGCGTGTCGGCGGTCGAAGTCCCGAAGGCAACCCCCAGGGTTGCGTTGCTAACCGGGTCCTTAACCACTTGCGCAGATAGGAAGACCAAGGTGGTGTTCATTGCCCACTGCACCGGGAAAGGCACTGGTCAGGAAGACTCTTCAATTCAGCAATGGTAAGCTTCAGCAATAGCAAGATAACCAGCCTGAGACGGGTAGGGTTACTGTGGTGGTTAGGGTGGGTTCGGGTGCGGAGCGGGTGATTTTGTAGGTAAGGTTTTTTGTGTTAGTGTTGAAGCTCACTATTGCTAGAGCTTACTATTGCTAAATTGAAGAGTTATCTGGTCAGGTCAACTGAGCTCATCATTCGCGCGGTTCTGATCGCTTCCGGTGGTTGAAGAAGTTGTGCTTCTGGCTGGCGACTTATCTTGATTGGGCTTCGCAAGCTTCGTGCCATCCATTTGGGTTGCAACACTCTTCTGAGACTTGCCTTTCCTAGACTCAACTACCAAGTTGCACAGAAACGTGACACGTTTCTGGGCCTTAGCATTCGAGAACGACAAGCCAGATACTCAAAGCCCGAGACCTGTCTCCGTTGGTTCAGCTTTGAAAGAAGCATCTCAGAAATTCCTGTCGAGCAAAGTAAAGGATTGGCGGCCAGGCGAATAACCCCTGAAAGCGAGAGGGCTTACGATGAGACCCCAAGCCATGGCGCCTGTAGTCATCGTCTCCCTGTAGGGCTCCGTGCACCTGAAATCCGTGGTCCCAATAATAGCAAAAGGCTTCGCAGTCGGGTTGCCAAACGGGTCCACACTTTGAAAGTACAAAGGCACTTTAGTGATTCCGCTGGGGTCCCTCGGTGGGGCGCTCGACTGGTTGGCAAAAATGTGCCGGATTCTGCCGTCGTCAAACCGGCGGTAGCCGGTGATGAGGCCGTCGTGGGTTTGAAAATGGCACCAGCTGACGTTGGGGGAGGACTCGAGCGTGGACAAGATGAGGGGGGCAATCTGTAGAGCAGAGAGTAGGAAAGTAAGTGCTTCGATGATAGTAACCTGTCTTTCTTCTACGGTGTGAAGCTTAGCTACGGATCATTGACCCAAAAACGGTTGGGTGATCGTCGGACCCGAATATATGAACTGGGAGCTCAGAAAGGGTTGGACGGAACTCATGGAACGATTGTTTTTGACGGGGTGCCTCTCGGAGCTAAGGCGTTTATGAGGACGTTGGGAGGTGGTAATGTACGGATTGTGTGGATTAGCTAGGAGCGTTCGTAACAGGGAACCACAGCGCTGAAGGAGAAAGTTCTTGAGGAGAATGAGAACTTTGACACGCGGCAAAGCCGAATGCGGGACAGCCAAGAGGAATTTAAGATCGTAAGGTGGTCGAATCACAGAAGCTGGCAAGCGGCAACCTGCCGAAATTCATCCGCCTTGAGGCTTCCCTAATGAGGAGGAGCTTTGACTCCTTATACACTGACTCCAATAAAATGGCTCAAGCTGATGCGATCAAAACGGTCTAAGGGAAATCTGCTGAGACATAGAGCCTTTGAAGATCTCAGTTTGAGAGAAAAGACGACACTTCCGTAGTTCTGCCTTTCAAATCCTTACCTCTTTCTCGATCACGCTGAAGTCACTCAAGTCAGCCGTCCTCATGCGTGGCGTGAGGGCGATCGTCGTGGCAATCTGCCTGGACATTCGTGTCGTAGCGCTGAGATACTTTGAAAAAAACTTTGCACCGAAATCCAGTGAGTGCGCCTGATTCTCCTTAGTCAGCCGCTCAATGTTGCGACGGGCCACAAAATCCATCTGATACCAAGTCGAGTAGGCCATGGCTGCGATGAGCACACACATGAGTACCTATGCGCAGAACGGAAGCAAGTGGTGCGACGTCATTAGAAACACAGCATCTTAGCCGAGTACACAAGTCGCTCAAGTGTGAGAATGTATGAAGGATCTTCAACTCCCTCCATCTGACACATGGCAGCAATGAGTGCAAATGCTCACAATGCAGTTAAGTACACGGACTGGTGAAAATCGATCGGAACATAAGATGAGGTAGCTCACAATGTCTGCGCGACGTTTTTTTGGTCACGTGAAACAAGACTTTGAGCTAGCACAGAGCGTCGGAGATTTAGAAGTGAGATGAAGCTCTGAAGGCAAGCTTGGCTGCACACCTCTGTTGCCGTCGTTGTCTCATCAGCGGCCATTGGCTCTTGCAAAAGAGCCTTCCTCGCCACGTTTGCACTAATCTCAAGAGCATACCAACTCAGATGAGATACATTTGCAAGAGAAATTGCAAGAACAAATGGAAGAGCGTCTACTGCAGACCCAAAGAACTCCTTACCATGATCCCCAGCCTAGTGATCAAGACCATATGGTCAAACCCCCCGGTTTTGCGTCCCAGCGATACGGACGTTCGCATCTCCTTGGCCTGCACGACCACTTGGGTGACAGTAGTACTACCACTCCCTTCGGGGAGATCCTTCGAAGCCATCACGTGACTCAGGCTTATCTAGGGCCACTACCTGCCAGGGTGGCGCTCAAAAGGCGCCAACGGGTTCTGTGAACTTCAACCAGCCACTTGATAACTTCAGAAGAGCCTATCATGCTACTGATGACAGGATGTCAGGCTTTTGATTCGCATGTCTATAGTGTGCACATCTGATTCTGCCTGCACTTCATGAACCAGCTGATTCAGGTTGATTTATGCTACTCACTCAAGTATGGACCCCACTTTGAGTTTTGACAATACAGGCTTAATTTCTTGGAGCTGCTTCCCATTCTGAAGTTGCCGATGTCTTTCTTTGCTGATTCAAAGTGCCAGCTTGAAGAAGCACGTGCAATAGAAGATGGCTTTTCAGCAAAGACGTTGGCCTGCCAGCTACATGAATTACTGCTGGACAGCTTGCGGTCCGTTTGGCAGAAATATGGCCCTTAAAACCGAAGGTCACTGCAATTGTTCTTCCGCGGCCCACGCTTTGCGTTATAGTATCTGGACCACAAGCTTCCAGCTCCTCATCCTTTTACCCTTCTAGCGGCCTTTTGTCCAGAGTCTTTTCATAAGAGCATTGACTCTGATCTCGAGCCGTCCTCCAATCAATTATGTATGTGAGCGGTCGGCAAGCCTCACAGCTCACGAATGTGAAATCTGAAGAAAACAGGCCAGCAAACTGGGGTGCTCTTAAAAGTGGACTGCTGAGACTGCTGGCTGCTAGCGGCTGTCTCAAGGCTGGGCTATCTAAGCATGCTAATGCAATGATCACTTGAACTGCGCTCAGACCCGAGGGCCGACCGGACGGTCAACCGCTGGAAGTGACCCGCAAGCCGGCGAGCGCGCGCGAGATACCTGCCATCAGGCATGGAGGCGGGGCAGAGCCTCGGAGCCCATGACGACATGCATCATTGATGTAGACTCGGACGGTTATAGACTGGGTGAGTTGGTCATGCAAAGCAGGCAAGGCCTCTGCCCATGAGCCCATCCAATCCCAGTTACCTGGGTAGTTTGCAGCGCAGCCAGGCCAGAGCCCGTTCATCAGAAAGAAATAGTGATGAACACACACACATTCATATCATGTATGCCATAAGGAGCCTATGGCTTAGGTGACTACGGCGTGTAAAAGAGAACATCATCGATCGGCAGCTGTGACGCGCATTGCAGAGCACCGTGACATAATAGATGCCAGGCCTTTCAATGGCGATGTCTGAAATTGTAAGTCGCGTCGATCTGTTCACGATTGTTGGAGCAAGGCATAGCAGCGAGGAGTGTGGCCCGTGTGGGAGTGACATTGGAGGTGCTGTGGCACTCACATGCGACTTTGAGATGGCTTGGCCAACGACCATTGTACGTGCATTGTACTAACGTTGACATTGATCTCATATTGATATTGATATTGATATTATATCAATAACATTATTGAGTATTAATATATATTGCATCTTGCTTTGCGCGCAATCAATCATGAGGCGGCGCTACATGTAAGTTCGTCTGTCTAGTTTGTTGTCGGATCATGGCGGCTTCGTCATGATAATCATGGCGCGTTTTGTCCGCATTGTAATCCATCAGAACCAGATATGTTGCATGCATTCCGCCTGACACGAGTATCTTAGCGCAAGGAAGTTCTGGGTGGCTACTCCATCGACATCTTTCTTTTTGCCTGTATTATCGTATCTTGCTTAGATCACAACGTACAAGTTACATGCTCCTCTTATGATGCCAAATACTTACAAAGTATTTTTAGCCGTAACCAGCTAAGAATTCGGGCCAGGTGCATGATACATACATAATTTAAGGAAAGATTGAAGAACCCGGACTGACTACATGAGCCTAAGGTTGTTGATAGGGATAACATTCCTCTTTTGCATGAGGGTATAGGCGATCAAGCCCCTTGGAACCAATGATTGTAGACGAGCATGTCGCTAACTCGTGTGGAACATGCTTGTGGAAACTCGTGTATTCCACAAGCCAAAACCAATCGGTCAGGATGGATCGATATTATATGGTCGCAACTAATGTTGGATACATGAAATCCAGCTAGTGATTTTGAAGGTTCAAGCGGGAACAACATCATGCCAGGAAAAATAACTCGTATGGCCACAGACAACCTGCCCTGAATGGAGGCAAGCGAGCCAAAGCTGCGAATGAAGATTGCTTCACTCGATCCCAAACTATTAGCCCTCGGATACTTGTATTGACTGCAAAAGCCCCCCTAACAAGCCTCTCTTGTCCAGCAAAAACTCTCGGTGCTTTCAGCTTGAAACATCTGATTATGTGACCAGCCTGTCACGTCTCAAGACTGGCCATGTTGATCATGCTCAATCGTTAGCAATGGTTTTGGTCGTGGGAGGGCCTGTCAACCCTTCCCAGTCATGGCATTTGCCACCTGGACGCACAAAGGATGCACATTCGGAAGAAGGTCAAAGGTTACTGCTCTGCACTGGAAGGCCTGTTACGGAGATGACATTTTTTATCTTGCAAAAAAGTTGCTGGAGACCAAAAGCACGTGTCCTACCTTCTAACCATACCCAACAGAATCGCAGTCACATTCCGATGCTCCCTTAAAAGACGCCTGCCACTTCCATCTGTCCAACGCCCTTTTAAAGATACCGCTGCTTACCTGTGCTGGCCTTGGCGGGGTCACTTTTTCAGCTCCTAGGGCATTCCGGATTGGTGGTACAACAAGGGGAAGGGCGAGTCCTGTAAGGCAAACCTGAGCTGAGACTGCGAAGGATGTCAAGAACAGAGAATCCCTGTGGGGCCTTGTCCTTGAGCTTCAAAGGAAAGACTGGTGAAGAAGCTAGAAACATGACCGTAGAGCACGGCCTTTGAGAGCGACCAGTAGAGAGCATCAGAACACAGCAGTGCGACAAGCTTCGTCTCCTGCTCTTAACTTTTTAAACCAATTCATTGTTGATACAATGGTGGATGTCGTCAGAAGGAGATCAGCAAGGAGAAAGCATGTCAAAGAACAGCCAGAAGCAGATTGGTCCTTTACGTAACGTGGAATTGACAGGCAAAACCCTGAGAGGCTGTGATGTTAGAGCGTTGCGATCCACACTTCCACGCACCTACTAGTGAGATCCCGCACGACCATACCACCACCGGCTCTCTGATCAGCGCATGACGTAGCCAGCCCCCCAGGCTAGCCATGGCCCCCAGTCCCTTCAGCAACCGTCGCGCCCGCTTTTTGCGTTGGTTTTTGAGCGGGGGCAAGCGTCCAACCTGATTCGTGAAAAGTGGGAATATCAGACTTTGCACCGTTGCATGATTGGTGGTTCTGCAGCGCATGTGAGATGACCTACATTTTGACCAATCAACGACTTTGTGCGTGCGCACTCCGCCATTCTTTGGGCCCTGCATTCGTGTAAGCACTGGCGAGTACAGTGTCTCTGACTGAACCTGGCAAGGCTGCTCAAAATGATCACATTTCATAGCCTTACTCAATATGTTGAGTGCGTCTAAGGGCGCAACAGGTCAACATCTATCTTAAATACCACTCAAGCAGTACTCGACTAACTACCAACCGATCAAGGCGCAGAAGGAAGATTCTCTGACCTCAATAAGGGGCACCTTGACGTCAAGACTGGAACGTTGAGGCAGCAGGGCGAAATCTGCCGCAGAACAGTCGGAACCTGCAGTGCTGCTTTCACCTGGACAAACAGCAATTCTGTAAGACTAAGAATCTGCTGAGCATCTGATCATCATCAACCTGAAACGTTTCTACGTACAGACATATCCGGCAGGAGGATAAGTAATCTAGTTTTAGAGAAGCAAAAAGGATCCTTCCTGCTGAAATGATCACTCAAAGCGGAGCCTCACCTGACCCTCACCGCCTCCCCAGCCACCTGGACAAGGGCGCCTCCTCGTAGATCCTATGCAATTTACTAGTCATGTAGCATTTCTGCTTGGAAGAGCAACGTTCGATCACAAATATAAAGTTAAACTGCTGAAAGGAGATTCCTTTGTAAGGAATTGACACCAGGTTGACGAGCGTTGCCGTTTCAAAGAACGTCTCCATAGAGGCTAAAGGACTAAATATGGCCTTGATAAGCCATATACCGTTCTGACGGTTCTCAGACAACCCCAGGCATCCCGTCGTCTTGTGCCAAACGAAGTTCGGCCCCTGGATTTTTGCAAAGTCTGTCCATCTTTACGTCTGCATTTGCAGCTTAACTAGCTAGGCGATGCCTCGCTGTGCATCGCACATGTCACCTTCTCTATGGCGCCCCCTCAGGTTCAACATCCCTGATAGATTCAGCAGCTTCTACATAGGGGGAACGCCCCAGCAGATGGTTGCAGCCATTCTCCAGCATCCCCGCGCCTTCTCTGCAGCTGACACTTTGGCTTCAGCCAGCTTTGTTGAATTTCCGATCAGGAGCAACTAAAAGTTCAGGCAGGCACTGATTCAAGCACTCTTATGCCCCGAAAGCCCTTTGCGTGGGGCTTGCTCGGGAGCTCCCCATGATGAATGGGAGCAGTAGCGTTCGACGTAGCCCATTGATTGCCATTTCAGCTGAGACTATAGCAATGGCAGTTGCCACCACTAGATTTCAACCTTGCTCCAGCACTAGTCACTTGGTCCTCATACAGAGCCTCGCAGCAAGCCACTGCTGGGAAGAGTCGTCGTTTACATCTAGAAAGATACAGTCAGGCTGGCTGCAGTTCTCCAGCTCCAGGACCAACACCGACTGGTTCAGGTCAAAGTCCAAGCCCATTCGCGCCGCAAGAAAAGTAAAGGTGAATGCAGCAGCTGCGGGAGCTGATTGCAGCTCCAGACGAGAAGCGAGGGCGCCGGCTTTGGACTCACAAGGGGTGCCCGTGCAGACGAGGAGACTTTTGTGCCTCAGCAACGGGCATGGGGAGGACGCAATTGCAGTGGCTATCCTCAAGGCACTCAAGGTGGGCAAGCAAAGGTAGTGCCTCTGCGCAAGGCCCGCTGGAACTCTTGCGACAGGAGCTTGAAGTTTCTGTGCGGTTGTAGGTTGCATTGGCTGGGTTGAAGACCCCAGCGGGCTATTGGTCACAGCATCTGGGTCTGTGGTTAGAAAACTTCGAACATTGACCCCACTGCCTGAATCGTAATCAGTGGAGGATCGGTTGTCACAGTTGATCGCGGTTCGTTGCAGTCACCCACCTTCGTCCAGATTGTGCAGTCGAAAAGAACCACAGCGCAAACACAAAGATATGATAATCACAATCTGTGACGGTGATGTCATCGTGCTTCTCCAGCACGCTTCAGCAAATCTTTACCTATCATGGAATTGCGATTCCCTCACGTCTATGTGCCCCTCATCCCTCACCTTTACATGCCTGGCATCTTAGTACAACGAGCATGCTTAACTTGATCTGTACGACCTTCAAGACCTCTGCTGTGCTTCTTTCTTCTCCTCTCAATCATTCACATTTTGCTTCCACCCCCCTCCTCGCCCCCCTTCTAGGCAAGTCATTCTGCCACCCCCTTCCGCAGGAGTTAGCAGAGGAGGAGGATCAGCCCCTGAGCATCGAAGCGCTTCCCTTGGTGGGTTTGGGAGGGGCGTACGTCAGGGCAGGGATCCGGACCATCGGGCCCGCTCAGATGATGCCAAGTGGCGGCTTCTTGTACATGGATCGCAAGCAGATCGTGGGGGACCTCCAAGCTGGGCTTATGGCGCTCACATGGGAACAGGTACGTCACCTCCTGCGGGTGTTACGTTACATACGCTTTCCCCCTTCTTTCCTGAGTGCAGTGAGTCGTCACGAATGTGGGAAGAACGAGGTTCTGCTTACTTACTCTACAGGTAATGACAATCAATTACTCGCTGCCATATAGGAAGAGTCGTCATACCTTCAGGGTTTAGTCTTAGAAGAATGTAAATCTGAGACCCACTTGAGAAAGGTTCATGCAAGATACAACTCTTGAGAGGTCCCTTCAATGAAAGCCGGAAGACTCCGTCCTTGTCTGTCAGGTTCAAGGCCGTCGTCAATTGGCCCTGATTCGCTGAGCTTCCCATTCTGTTGAGCTCTCAGACTGTTGGGTCTTTTTGTTTTACTTCCAAACGGTCAGTCGAAAGATTCTTTTCAGAAGCTTCACGAGTAAACAAATTGTGTGGTAGAATCTGAAGACCTGGTGTATCTTTGGACGCTTCTCGTGATCCACTTGGTACATGGATGGCGTCTCTTTGTTGGACAGGCCCTCTTGAAAGTCACCATTCCGCAAGGAACGTGGTTGCTTAACAATCCAATTTTCGCTGCCTGGTTGCGCCAATCCGTCACACCACATTGCCACCCTGTTTGCAGTTAACCACCCTGGTTAAGTGGACCCAAGCGGAAAGTACCGAGAGGGCGACCAGCGCATTGCTTGCCGTGGGAGACGTTCTGCCACTCGCAATGGCGTGGGTCGCCTCCAAATACGAGAAAACGAGGCGGGAAAAAGACAAAGGCGGGCGGCTGGTCCCGTACGCTTTTGTGGGCACCGCGAAAAGCGAGTTTTACGTCAAGGAATTAGATGGGAGGAAGCTTGTGCCAGAGAAAAGGGACGCAGGTGAGGTTGTGAAATGCGAGAACAGGGCTGTGAGGATGCAAGAGATAAAGATTGCTCAAATTTCCAAATTTCCAATCTTGAAATTCGATTCTATACCAGAGACCAAAATCAGCCCGAAAGTCAAGCATGCAATACCCTGCCGACATTTAGTTTTCCGGTTGTACATCAACTTCAGTGCGGAAGTTTCTTGATGGTTAAGGATTATCTGGTTCGTGTGCAAAAGTATTCGTTTGCAAGCTGATCTAGAAGCAAACCTCGAAACCCAAAAGCAAAACGGTTACGAGATTTCTTTCAAAATGCACCAGCTTTCATGTTCGGAGGGTCGAGAAGCTGCTCCATTCCGCCTGGGCTGTCCAGAAATCCTGAACGAACTCATGGACTCACTAACATTGGAATACGAAGTTCGTCACATGTTCCGTTCGAAGTCGGCAGCACTTCGAGATCTGGAAGTTCGTCCTGTATTTCATTCGAGTCGTAACACCCTGAAACCTGGAAATTCAGACTTCAAAAAGAGAGCTTACTATGACTCCCCTGCAGTCGAGAAGCTGCTCTCCCCTGCCTGCGTCCACCTGCCCTGGGAGCGCGCGCTGATGTCAGCGGACGAGTGCGCGTTCACAGCGCCGCGGGACGCACTCACGGGCGAAGTGTTGCGGACGCTCCTGCCGGACGGTGTGAAAAGGCGCGTCCTCGATTTGGGCAACCCAATGATGGACGATCTGGCGCCGACGGGCGCCTTGGACGGGGTTCTGGCAGGGTATGAGGGGTTTAGGCGCGTGGCGATCATGCCGGGGTCGCGCCCTCCTGAGGTGGGTGAGATCGGCTGGCGAGGATGTAGAGGGTGTCGCGTGGTCCAACCAAGGGCATTGTGTCGAGCTTCTAAATAATGGAGAGCTTGTGTTCCTCAGGGAAGCAGCTGACAATCAAAGGCCAATGGAGAAGACGGACCGAGACTTGGGCGGCTGTTGTTCCTGGATTGCCGCTCGAAGGTCATCGACTGTGCATCAAGCGTCTTTGTGAATCGGATGTTTCGTGACTGTTAGGTACCTGCTTTGAACAGAAAGCGGAAGTCGAGAACCCGGTACCTTTGTCCTTGCATTTGCAGTGCAACCTTTGTATAAGCAACATGTAAGTCAGCTTCCGTTGAAAAGCTCTCTTTCAAGAGCTCCGGTTTCCACAATTGTAAACCCGTCAAATCTGCACGCATTTCTGTTTCTGAGCTTTGAAGGATCAAACCCTTGAGCTTATGAGGGTCTGGTGTTGAAGAGTGCGCCGTCATGTCCGCAGGTCCATAGAAACTTTGACACGCTCCTTTCCGCCGCGGATTCCGTCGCCCAAAGCTCGCCACACGAGCGCTTCCTCTTCCTGGCGCCTGTCGTTCCCTCGCTGGAAGTTCGGCCGTTTACAGACGCGCTCGCTCGCAACGGCTGGCAGCGAGCGGAGGAACCCCTAGAACTCCCCGAAATTAGCGGCGCTTGTGAGTCGCCAACGGAACCGCTTGTGGATGCGTCGGATGAGTCGCTCGAGCGAGGAAACGGCGGACCTTTGCAAGGGGGGTGGTCAGAGGACGGTACTTCGGAGAATGGTGTAAGAACGTCCGTAAGGTTTGAGAGTGCGTCGACTTTGAAAGAGAGTGAGCAGAAAAACGGAAATAAAGTTAGTGCTCGATTACGAGAGCAAGCAGAGCACGCGCAAAGTAGCACGCAACCAAGCGACGGTCCTAGTAGCACCTCGCAACGACCTGATGCCGTAGAATGTAGAGATCCAAAACCCACCGGATCCGTTAGTGGACCCTCTCTAACCCGAACGCAGAACGAACATCTGGACGACGTCGTTCCGGAGCCTTTTGCCGCAGACGGCGGCGGCTGGCCGGAGCCTTCGGAAGGCCCTGTTTCGAGCATACTCTTCCGAAAGCGCGGGGGCGACTCGGCGGTTCTGCTGGTTCGCGGGGCCTTTGCGGACTGCGCGCAGCGGGCCGAGGCGGGCCTGGCGATGGCCGGGACAGCGACGGAGCAGATGGTAAGGGTTTACTGTTTGAATCTAGCGATTGTGGTATGGATTTGAGAGGTTTAGGGTTCGGGGTTTTGGGTTAACCGTTTCTACCGGCAGCAGCCACAAAACTTTCCGAGCGCTTTTCAAAGCTTGCTTCTGCAGTGTGTTGCGATGCGAGCAGATTTTGATTGTCCAAACATTGCCATCATTTTCTGCGTCACCATCAGCAGGTCGATGGCAAGGGAGCATCTCGCAGAGCATACATGCTGGACTTTGCAGAGGGCTCGGGTGACATTTCAAGTGCCCGGTTGCTGCAGGTCGAACTCGCTTAACATTTGATTGGCTCGGTTAACATTCGACGTGCTCGGTTAACATTCGAAGTGCCCGGTTCCTGCAGGTCGGGCTCGGAAAGCCGGTCTTCACCATGCCCGGGGGAGGGCCCCAGTTTACCTTCGCCTTTGCGGAGGCGCAGTCGCGGCTGCTGGGTCATTCGGTGAGTCTCGTTCGTTGAGCTCTCAGGGTCTCCTCAATATCCGAAAACATTTTATGTCTCGGGGTGCTTAGGTGACGGTTCTGCGGACACATACGCTCGCCATCTGCATATTGATCCGATGGTGACTCGGATTCAGCTTTCGAAAGTCTACTGATGTCTGGATCACTCGGGCTTTAAGTTTCGTCACAGCATTCGCTCACCCCGATCTCATCGTTTTCTGTCCTTATTGACGGGCGGACATGTCTTACAAACGTTCCCTATTACCGGCCGTTACAAAGAATCAACCCACCACTAAAGATTGGAAATCCACAATAATTCTCAAATCTCGCCAGCCTCCTGCCTCGTCAAGCTTTCGTTTCTTGAAGTCTTTCTGACCCCCGTTTTCCCAGGACAACATTGATAGATGAAAGCACTCGTCTTGCGCTGCGTTTCTGCGGCTTGGCTGCAGCCATAATTCGATAGTCCCGTAAAGCAGAGCTGCAACGGACGAGAGTCTGCGGTCTAGAACGTTCCTTCGTTTGGTTGTCCTCAACTTTGGCGCTTGTATGGAGAAGATTTGACACATAGCCTGATTGCTGCTATACATATCCAACTCGCAGGTCATCCTCTGCAAATCACCATCTGAGGTGGGGCCTTGCTTTCGGGAAATCTTTTTTGACGAAAGGCGGCTTGCTGAGATTCGAGAGGATGGGCGACAGCGGATGGGACAGGCCGGCGCGTCCAAGCGCATCGCCCGAGCGATCTGGGATAGGCTGCTGGTCGAAAACTGCACGCCCGAACTTTCTGAGATAATGACGAGAAGACATTGACAAGGTTACAATCAAAGTAAGCACAGTCAAAGCGGACGTCAAATCGCAAGCTGTCGCCAAAGTATGTTTGAAAGAATATGGATAGGAGGATGCGCGTTTGCTATTTGCGGCATGTTACCTAATGTATCAGGTGGCCGACGGTTGCCAGCGATCTGATTGGATGCCTGTTAGGCCTTCTACGCTCATCGATCCACTAGGTTGCGATGATGTTGTGCAGCATTTACCATGATCAAGTGGTCATCAGTGCAATCAGGGATATATCATCGGCATCACTGATGCTAGACTGCGTAAGAGAATCTTCAACGCGTGCAGTGCAGTTTTGCAGGCTGCGGTATACACGTCTTTCATATTCTGGGTCATGATGCAATTTACAACTCAAGTTACATGTGGTTTACTTGATAACTTCCTTAACAACTTGAACCGTTGTACAGCGGGGCCGGAGCTGGCCGTTGCCAACTTCTGCTTCGCATGATATGCCGCATTCAAGAGGCCGCAAGTCGTTTGTGACGCATCCGCTTGTGGTATGCGAGCTAGGTCATCATGGCAGGCATGCTATTCGGGCTATGCATTTTTACATGGTCCAACCATACCAATCCGTATATATACGGTCATCCAAGAATGTGGTCGGCTGAAGTTAGCTTCTGCCCAGGCAAACATGGAACAATCAAAGCAGAGAATATGCAATCCGCGAGCTTCGAAACAACGAAACGCTCAGGATCTGTCTGTATCATAGTGCTACAGGAGCAGGTGCTTCAGCATGTCGAGGCCGGTATCGTACGCATCCAAGCAGCGAGCGACCTCGGCCAGCTGCTTCTGCCTCGACCCTAAGATGCTCCTAAACTCGAGCAACTGCGCGTCGTAGCTGGCCTGGATGCACGTCGAGACCTCTCGAAGCTGCTTCCCCTTGTTGCCCCTCATCTCAGAAAACTCCAGGGCCTGTCTGTTGTAAGCAGCAACCGCCTGAGGGAGGTTCTGGCTGTCTTGCTCGGAACTGCGTCTGTCGCTTTGGGATGTGGACACGCAGGCTGGCTTCTGCTCGCGATCGGGACGCGCCGAGAAGTTGAGCTCTACGCGGTCCTCTTTGGGAGGCAACGTTCTCGTCCTACATTGACGAGTCTTAGTCAGAAGTGGTCCAGAAACAAGGGGCGTTCCGCGCGTCCAATCCGGACTCTCGATGTCCAATTCGTCCGGAATTATTCAGCCGGGCTTCAGCTGCCGTCAATCGAAAGCTTCGATCAGGAAATCTCTACAGCCGTGTTAAGATGTCAATGGTGTTCAGGAGATTAAAAGTAATCAATTGCGGAAGTGACAACTTGTCTAAACTTAATTCCTCCATGCCATTCAGAAAGCACTTCTGAACAGGGTTTATGGATACGTACGTAACGAGCAAATAGACGGTCAACAAAAAAGAGCAAAGATATCGGGTTCTGGAAAGACATGGTAAAATGATGCTTCTTCGTGGTGTGGTATGCTTGAAGTTTCTGATGAATGCGCGAGGAAAAGGCTGATCGATTCACAACAATCCAGTCAAAAATGGTGCGTTTCGGCAAAGGTGTATCCAGGGAGCAGCCACACATTCGCAGCATGAGCGTAAAGGCCACAAGTAGGTCAGTGCTTTCCTCAAGCGGACAATTGATTTTTCGATGCAATGTTTCAAACTTCGTAGCTCCAGGTTCAGTGATTCCAGAGCAAACACATTGCAGTATGTTCTTGCAGACTCCCATCTTCGCCAGCTCACCTTTGGCCAGAAGTACTCTTTAGCGTGGCGGTCTTCTTGAAGGAACTCTCCAAGAGAGAAAGGAACGAGTTGCTGCTTGAGTTTCTGACAAGCCCTGTGATTCGGAGGATCTCTGGTAGTACACTCTTACGGAATCTGGCCATCGTGGAACTAAGCACGAGGGGCTGGAGCTCTGACCACTCTAGCAGATGTTTTGGCTGCATGCAAGCTGCAAGAAGAGAAGCAGAGTAATTACGAAGGCTGCGGAAAGGATGTAAGAATTCGAAGGATACTGTTGACCTTCTGCTTCTCTTCAGGGGAGGGATGTGAACGGTTCGCTCTAAAGCGAAGATAACAGCTTTGCTTGAGCTACAGCTTTCAAAAGATGGAATAGAAGTTCGGTAACCTCGACACAATCTGCGCAGGAGCATGTGGAGCAAGCAAGCGGTAACACTTGTCGAGATACGGGAAGGAACACGGTCTATGATCGTTTTCGCTTACCAGCCAGGACCTCGAGAAACCATTGAGCGCAGTCCTTGTCCGAACCGCGCAGGTCTGAAAGCGCTTGTGGAACGGGAAGCCTCTGAACCTGCGTAAGTATTTGCAGAGACGCCCGCTGCTTCGTTCTGGATCTTTGCATCCAGGCTTTGAAGCCTTCACAAAGTTTCATTCGATTGAATCGAATTTAATGAGCAGATGGAGGAACATTGCACGAAGTGCACAGCGTCTTCCAGAAGCGTTGTGCACGTTTCCTCATTTGTGATTACAAGATGTCGCTATCTGTTGGCTTACTTTGGCCTCGTAAACGATTCTCTGGTCTGTCTGAAACGTCGGACCAGCTTTTTTAGGCGGGAGTGGAGGACGACCCCCCGAGAACTGTCTCCGCTTGCCAGCACTCCCGAGAACGGATTGAACGTCAGCAGCCTCTTGCTGCAGAATGGAAAACGACTGAGTTCGTTCAATCAAAACTCTTTCAAAAATTCGAAAGTATTGGACATTTTTGAACAGCTTAAACTCCTTGACCTTCACAACGGAAGGAATCCATTACTAGATGGTACCCTTGCACATTTTCATTGTCCACCATGTCCAATGTTTGAATGATCGGAAGCGAAAAAAGAGAATGACGCGGTGTTTCTGCATAAGCCGCTCGTTCAGGTTATGAGGCCGGGCGAGGCTTTCTGCGAAGCAAGCTCGGAATCATTAAATGGACGCAGTTCTCGAGAGGTCAACCAGAGAATCGACTGCAAAAGTTGCTTTGGTATCTGTTGTTGGAAATCGGGAGATTAGTCACGCAGTAGCCAGACTTGACCTTCTGTAGCAAAATCCTCTCTTCCTCTTACTTCACGAATCCGCCTGCATCTGCCTGGAACGTAGTAGTTTTCACGTACACGAAGCCATTGCCTTCGAGGGTGAAGCATGCGTCATACCTGCTCTTTGGCTCTTCTTTCATGGCTGTGTTGTAAGGCTTTGAAAGCATCATGATTCTCTACAGTCTTCTCTTCGCTGTAGCCTGTCTCCAAAGGCGAGAGTGTTCTTGCGAACGGACTGCTAAACTTTCTTTTCCTTTTCTGAGGCTCAGAGACATCCCCCATTCTCACCAGTCACCAACACATTTAGCACAAGCTCCCCACAAGCTCTAGTCAACAGTTGGATTGAAGCAGTTGACGAGACCCGGAGAACACTCATCGCGTCTTGCAAGCCTCTTGCCTTCGGTCATCTATCGTCTGCAGTCTCCTTGCAAATCCCCTTTCAAAACACGGCTTCAAAAGTAGCGGAAGCCAGTGGCATTGGAAGGAGCTCAGCTCCACAATCCTTCTTTCCTCTCAAGGCGGATTGTGCAGACATTCAGACAGAGCTGTTGGTAAGTGTTCTGAATGCCGAAGTCATCGATCGACAATGAAAGCTTAGAGCAGGGCTTGGCTGGAAACTTGAAAGCTAGACGCGAGCTGAGCTGTGAGTCGAGCGTCTGAAGTATAGCCTATAAGATTACGTCAAGTGTAAGTTTGAATCTCGTCCAATCAGAAAATAACGTGTCGCCTTGCCGACCACGTTGACCACCTAACACTCAATGTCATTCGTGCCTCATCATCATGAGGCCTAGACCCTTCTGCAATTTGCAGCCATGCCAGGCCGGTGCCTCTGATGACACGACATTTGAGGAATAGTAAGCTTTTGGAATACCGTAGTAAGCTCAAACCAAACACTAAAATCCTAACCTATAAAAAGTACCTGCTCCGCACCCAAACCCACCCTAACCCCCAAACTAACCCTATCCGTCCCAGGCTGGTGAGCTTTCTATTCCTAAAGCTTACTGTTCCTACATAAAGTGTCATGACTTCTGCCTCCGAGGCCGCTGAGTGAAGAACGCTCAATGCCGCTCATACAGCTACATGAGCTGTCACACTCCCGAGTGACATCAGCTCACAACATTGCGGAGGAGAGCTCAGAGGAGATGCACCCACATCTAGCTCGGGGCAAGGTCTGTTTTGCGGGAGTGCCATGGCTTGTGCTGCCGTGAGCTGCCATCTTTCCTAGCATCACTTCTTCTTGGTATGGTAGAACTGTATTTCCGCAAAGCCTGATGAACACTCAGAACATTTTCTTCAGGTGTAGTTGCTGAGCTCATCCCATGGAGCGGAAGCACGCCTGGGCGTGGCTCCTGGGAGGAACGGTCGCCGCAGGTTTCGGTCGGGGGCTCCAGGCGATCCCGGTGGTGGCATGGCTCGAACCTGTCTTCTTCCTCCAGTTCTTCCACCATTCTAGAGTCCACGAAGTTTCCTGGCGCTCAAAGCTCGGCATTCTGGCAGCTGCGATATTCGCCCAAGCTGCGGGGCTCACTTTTGCGATGGCAGGGACTCTGAATGACCCATCGTTCACCCCCCTGGGAGTCGCCGTGGTCGCGATTGCAGCCACTCTCGGGAGCACGGCGCTAGTTCTCATTCCCTACTTTGGTGCCAGCGCGTACCGCCACCGCTATGAGGGGGCTGTAGCTGCTGGCGTGTTCTTCTTCCCTCTCGTGCTCACCGGGCTGTGGATCGCTTATGCCAGAGTGTCTCCTTTTGGGACAATGGGCCACAGCGCTTACAGTCAGTCGGACTCGAAGACCCTCGTGCTGACCGCCTCGTTTTGGGGCATGTCAGGAATCACATTTCTGATGTCTTGGGGGGCTGCCCTGCTGCATGAGGTCCTTCTGTGCCAGAACCCTGTTCCCCCCCCAAAACTTCCGAGCCCCCGCAACCCCCCCCTGCCCTACACTGGCGCGCCTTACCTCCACAGCCCCCTGCTGCTGCGCCGGTACAGCGTCGTTGAGCCCCACTTGCAGGGGGCGCTTCCCCAGGGGGTTACGTGGCACGTGCGTGCTTTCTCAGCGGTGTTCCTCTTAGCGCTGCTCTACGGGGGTGCGCAGACGTCTCTCTTCGCGGGGCGCTTCTATCAGCGGGGAATTGAGGAGATGTATCATAAAACGTTCGCGGCGTCGTGCATTTTGGAAGACGAGGCCCGAGGGGGGAGCCTGGAACGCCTGTGGGCGGAGACGGAGGGGCGGGTCGCTGCGGGGGATGATGTTATCCTCTGGTCAGAAACAGGTGAGCAATTGTCACTGTGAGAAGTTGACTGCTGTCAGCTTTCACGGTAGGATAGAGAGGGGAAAACGTTCCTGTTTATCTGGTGCTCCTTCTGATTTGCACCAATTTTGGACCGATTTGAATGGGGCGTGGAGCCAAGTTCTCTCTGCCCCTTCCTTTGGTTGGTAGATCGAGGTATAGATTAAGCGTTCGGAGGTTGCAATGAAGGGGCCCAAAGTGAACCTAAGATGTTGTTTGCAGCGGGCCTGGATGCTTGAGACGCTCTTTCCGTATTGGCCCCTGTATGACTAGCTGAACTGTCTTGCAGAAGCTGGCCGTGTAACTAGCTCTGTCTCTGTCCCCACCGTAAACAGCTCGTCCTCATCCTGTCTGTCTGTTTCACTGGAGGGTAGAGGAGCGAAGGAACAATCTCGATCCAATCTCCATCTCGTTCAAAGACTGACTGATCTTCAGCAGCCTCTCATCGGGATTCCAAGGAGCCTGATGCTCCCTGGCGATCTGGAAAGCCAGTTTAACAGCGTGAGAGATTCATTTACAGGCATACGACCCCTGCGCAACCTTGCCCTTCCGCCGGCCAGATGAGTTGTTCTGCTTTCGATTCTGCCGGCTTTTACTTCTCCAAACGAAGATCAAGGACTGACCCCACAGGATACATCTAGACCCCGAGACAAACATCTGCATGCCACCTAAGATGTTCCCATTTTCTGTCCTGTCCAGCGGCAATCGTCTTGGGCGACGCAGAGGAAGCCGCACTCATTGCAAGAGCAAGCGCCTTGGCTCAGCTAGGGGTGGCGGGCCGAGACACAAACAAGCCGGGGCCATACATCGGCCTGTCGTACTACAAAGTTCTGGATGGTCAAACTCCCCACAAAGCGCCGGACCAAACGCGGCACGTACAACAACATGAGGGCCCTGCTGGGAAGGCCCTGCAGAATGGACTGTCGCACTCTAGTTCGAACCATGGACCCTCTTACGAAGCTCTGAGCGAGGTTCAAGAGTCGCACATCGGAACCAGTGCGCTTAGCGGAGCTTCCGAGGAAATTGGAAGCAAGGGGATCCCTCGGCCCTCCGTCTGGGGCACTGCTGCTGACGTCATCACCGCTGGTGTGGCGGTAATGTCAGATGGCACGAAGACTCTGGCGGCAAGGAACAGCTTCGTTTTGGTGGGTCCAAGCGGTGACCCGATTCTGAAGTACAACAAGACGCATACGGTTCCTCTTGAAGAGGACGAAGTTGTACAGGGGGATGGGAGGCTCATGATTGCGGAGACGGGCCTTGGGACGATGAGCGCGGCGATCTGCTTCGACTTCCGGTTTCCGGAGCTCATGCGGCAGGCGGGGCAGAAGAGGTGAGAAAACGTTTCAGGATGTTCGGACTCGAGTTGTAATGTTCAGAAGGATCCAAAAATGACAGAAGAATGGCCGGAAGCATGGCCGACCATTAGGCAGAGAAGACATAACGTCTGGTACATAGGTGGATTCCTGCGGTTGCATTGAAGGAGGTGAGAGAGTACGGTTAGTACGTAAGGAGAAGCATTCTACGCGGATCAAGTCAAAGGCAGAAAATTTGGTTGGAAAGGGCGGGATGGTCGCAAAGATGATCGTAGCCTTTCTGCGAAGGCGGTGCTGCCCCCTCGAAAATCAGGGCTATTTAAGATGCGGGTTTCCCTTCCCGCTACTGATTCGTGGAATCAGCCTCGAAACTAGTCAGGCTGCCCTTCGCTGCCTCGTTAAGCAAGGGCTTTCTACAACCTTTGGATTAATTTGCAGCCGGGGTGATATGGTCACCTTTCACATCCTGAAGAAGCTTCGCCTCATTCATGAAGCATATGAACGAGCGTCGGGCGTCTGCTGCGAAGTCCATCTCTGAGAGTGCACGCAGCTGCTTTTCGAAACGTTGAAACTTTCTCTCCAGGGCGCTCCGAAACCTTCCTCTTCTGTGACGCACCTACTCCCTTTTCAGCCCTTCTTAGGCGTCCGCTTCAACGTGCTCATACTGTTTTTGATCAGGCTTTCGAGGCGCATCTAAAAGGCGTAAAGGTTGCATTTACAGAAGAGCACCATAAGAGCTGGGCAGTCAACGAAGTATCATCAACGTACCTCAGTCCATATTCTCTCTTCCTGAGGTTGCGCACTTCTGTTCCTTTCAAATTCGAATCTCACGTCACTGAAACACCTACTCGGGAAACGATCTCCGCCTCCCTCGACTACTCCTGAATTTTAGCAGCAAAAGGGTCCGTTTGCTGTATGCCGCTTGATCACAAGCACGGCTCCGTACCCTTGACATCACGTGACAGCAGTGACGTCACAATGACGTGATTGTCAACCTTCTTCTGTGCAGCGTCGCGCTGATGCTCCAGCCCGCCTGGACGTGGGGCCCCGTCGGCCTGATCGAGCTCTACGCGGGCGCATTCCGGGCCGTCGAGAACGGATTTCACCTGTTCCGCTGCGGATCCTCGGGGTACTCGGCTGCGGTGTCGCCTTTGTACGATTTCGAGTTTGTGAGGTGAGCATGAGCTCCGTTCCCCGCTCCTGGACGAGCGTGTCGAGTACTAGATTTATGAGTCCTTTGCTCAAGCAGGTGTTGACATTGAATGTCATCTGTAAACGTCGTTATGATCTCTTCATGGGGATTGGATTTCAAGAGGGGGCGTCTTCTGACATTGCAGGTTGTCGTGGCTCTTTAAAATGTGGCTAATCTTGTCAGAGGTCACTCATGGTGTTTTATGCGTACGGTCTTTCTTCCCAGAGCACAGTTGTTTTTCGCTGGACCTCATGAGTCCTCTCGTTCACTATGTCAACGAGAAACACTTGCGAGAGCATGGCATTCAGAACTTAAACTTGCTTCCTGTAAGAGCACAGAGCTGGGACTTGAATCCACCGCGTTCGTTAACCTGATCGCCACTTTCTTCGGCGAAGCTTCAGACTTTCACGTTATCGGCATTGGTTTTCCCTCCCCTTGGCGGACTCTGTCCTTGGATTTTGAGCTTCGCAGCACGTACATGAGGACATTGTATTGAAGATATCCTCAGCACTTTTGATCGCTTCGTCGCAGGGAGACGCTGACGAACGGGACCATCACCGCGCAACTACCGATTTTGCCGCACGTGCCAACATTTTATGCTTCGTATGGTTTTGTTCTTGAGTACGTTTGTGTAATCTTAGGAGCGTTCGTTTACTTGCTAGCGGTTCTACCTAGGAGTGCCATCGGTAGAGTGTCAAAGTATTGGCCGGCTCAGCTAAGGGAGTCTTTGTTTGGGCCTGAGCTCGACTTCGATAATTCAGTGGAGAGTCGCGGCGCCTCAGAGGGAAGCTCGGCATACACCTCTTTACAATAAGCCGATATACTTCCGGATAAGCGCAACTCCGTTGCGCTCTCGCAAGTGAGCACATATTGCCACACGTTGAGTTGTGAGACAAGTATACGATGGCGGACACTGACCTGTGCCTACTAGATTACTGGTGCTGACCTTGATTGGGGAAAGGGAGCTGCGGTAAGTTCGTTCAGTACAGGCCTTCCTAGCAGCTCTGCATAAATGGGGTGCCTAGTGGCACCGTTTGCTTGCAACTGGAAAGAACAAACACTCCTCGCTCCCTCAAGCCATGCCTCCACGTCGTGGGACGCTGCGTCCAAATCGGGCCCGAGCTAGGAAAAATCGCAGTACGCCTTGAGTCCCCGTAGCACAGCTAGCATGACAAATAACCCCTTTTTTCTTACACATGTGCAATTCACATATCTCGGGGGCTTCAAAGCCAGTTGATGATTGAGACCTCTGATGGCAGAATGGATTCAGATTATCAATGGCCTCGACTAAAATTAGAAAGAAAGCCCCTTGCATGGAATGGATTACATGCAGGCCGGGCCCGCGTATGGATGATCCGCGGCAATCATTGCCTTGAACTTTCCCAAATAGCCAGTGGCTCATAGGTAGTGGATGAAACTTGTCGGAAAGCACATGCAGACTGAGACCGAGCCGCCTATAGAAGTATTATTAACAACTAATGACGTTCTGGTACGTGAACCTGCACGAGTTGCACGCGCGCGAGCCAAGTGCAACCCACTGGTACATGATCTAGCCCTATAAATGGACCCCGGAATCTGATGCACGAAAAATTGAGTGCTTCAAAAGTTGGGGGAGAGTCCAATATTTTGATTCACAATGGTCCGGGTCCCATGATCCTTACATCATAGATCGAGGTAGAGCGATCCAGCTTGAAAACATACGATCGATCGTGGAAGTGTAATACCAGCATATCATCAACAAGAAGCATGCATGTATGGTCACTTCTTTTTATACACGCTTAGGCACCTGGGCCCATGGCGCAGAAACAAGCAATTTCGGAGGTCGGGCTTCATCAAAAAATGTTTCTATAGCTAGTTACCAGCAGTTACTAATGGCAACAAAGCAACATGACTAACATGACATGCTACCTCATCATGGCGTAACTACTGGGTATAGAAGTCACTTAGCAATACCCGGTAGCAATATCAATCGGAGGCAAAGGGTTTATCAGAAGTGTCTCTAAGTGAATGCTAGTTTCTACGGCAAGCTAGTAGTTTCCCTTCTTCTCCCCGCCCTTGTTGGCCTGCGGCAAGTTCTGGAGCAGCAGCTGGAGCGCCTGCATAATGGGAGCAGGCACTGCGGACGCCAAGGCTTGCGCCGCGGCTGCGCGCCCCCCATCTAGCGCCGCATGCCCCGTGGCGGCAGTAGCCGCCTGGACCGCCCGAGTTGCGGAGGCTCTAACCCCCACCCCAAATGTGTTCGCCCCAGCAGCGAATCCGCTCCCCCCGCCTCCCGCCGTGCGCTGAGCTGAACCTCTCGACAACAAGTCCAAGACGCGCCAGCTTCTCCGCGTAGTCCCCAAGAAAACGCTCCTCGGCGCAGAGGCTTCCCATGTCGGGGAAACACATGGCCCACGTTTTGAGCGGCAGACCAACGCGCGACATTGGCCGCCAGTGCTGCGTGAGCACTTCAAGGACGGCGCTCGCAACTTTGCCAGCCTCCATCATGACATCCTTGACGTCACGCTGGAGATCAGGGAGCGGGCGGCCGACCGGGGTGCTCTGGACAATCAGCATAAGCTCGGGGGGATGTATCTTCGAGCGTATGTATGTATCCATCAATATTTCAGGGCACGGCTATAGAGTTACAGGGCAAGGCTATAGAGATACGCGCGGATTGCATACTAAGCCGCCAGGCTTGCAGCTAGATTTCCGATTACTGTCATTTGCATATGCATTACGCGCCGGATGACGCGCCTCACCACGCGCCCATGGCCTCACGTGCCAGCTGCAAATAAGGCCCGAAGCCTCATGCCTGCAGGCATTGAACCATGCCAGGTTGCCGGGTTGCTCAGGCTAGCATGGATATACTTCTAGCTTATTACGATGCCGTAGCATGATTTGGGCGGGGATATATGACGGAGTAATTCAATCTCCGCGGTGGTCCGACGATATATGCATAAGAGATTATCTGCCACTGTACATATGCATGCTGTGCATGCATATACATGAGGTCTGAACCATGTGAAGAAATCAATCAATAGATGGTTATTGAACTAAAGTATCATGTGAATCATGTCATTTCGTCTAAGTTCGAAATGTGCGCAGCCCTAGCTGGGCCAGATCGATATACTGTCCAAACAGACCAGATCCGACCCGTATAGGTCAGGCAAATATTCAACCACGTCGTTGAGACAGATCAAATCGTGGGGCGTATGGCCATGGCCCACAACGATTGCAAGTCACCTCTTGGTCAACATTTGGCGTGAGTCCAGCCTGAATACAAAAGCACAAACTATACTTGATCAGCTGGCAAACCCAACTATTTAGGAGTCCTCATTGAATGCCACTAGCTTTTTTGGAAGCTCAATGCTGACCCTGATCCTTGGATTTGCATATTGGAATCGAAGGATACGAGCTATCAGAGTCCCAGACAGTTCGAAGTCCTCAAACCCAGAGTCTGCAAAAATAATCATTCTATTCAACTTTTTGCTATTCTTAGCAAGAGCCTCCACAATCTCAAAGCAATCTGGTGATTCCTCATCTACATAGTACAAGATCTTCCAGAGGTTTACAAAAACTGTCTCCTCTAACATCTGCAAGATTTGCTGACCCGCGTCCTCCTCAGAATCAGTGCCAAAGCCACAGGCAGCCGCAAAACTAGCAGGGAAACTGAGTGTCTCAAGCTCCGAGATGTGCTTGAAGAAGTTTTCCGCAGTTGCTGGAGAGATATGCTCGTCATTGTCCAAAAGGGGTATCGTCAAATTCCTCAAGGACTGTGGCCTGGTATGCTTGAGAAAGCCTGTGAATTCACTCCAGGGAAGCGTCCTCGCAATGTCAAAACTAGGGGGCCACTGATCAAGTTGCAAATGTAAGACTTCAATGTCAGCTTTGCTGCCTAGGTCTAGAAGCAGATCGGTCTTTGAATTTTCCAATCTAAGCTCTTTCAAAGGGGCATCCTTGACAGTCAAGGAGTTTTGCAAATCGCCGATGCTCAACTCCTGTAGAGCAGGCGTTTCCAAGGAGATATCTGAGAAGCCTTCTGCTGGTTTGTCGACCCAGCTTGTGAAGACATTCAGTGAAACATTCTCGAGCGTACTGCTTTGGATCTGAACCTGTGTTACGCCAGTCAGTCCCTCGAGGTTGAGGTGCTTCAACGTCGGGCAAAGGCCTACTAGCTTTGTTACAGAGTCATTGGTCATTTTAACATTTTCTAGGTGGAGTTTCTCAAGTGCTTTGAAGCCTCCTCGACATCCCGCCAAGGCTTCTGCTCCAAGAGTATGCGTCTCTGGCCCTGTGAGATGCAAGTGCGACAAGTTCAGGCAGCGAGAAGCAGCCTTCAACCGCGGGCCCGCCTCTTTCAACCCCTCACCATCCAAAATGACCAACTTTTTCACTGATTGACTTGCAGCAGCGATCCAGAAGAGCACGCTTGTCTCGTCAAAACACCAATCGCTCTTGGCAACAAGCTTCAAAGACTTCAGCGCTCCTTTGGCGCCCCGAGCCAGCAGGAGTGCAATTTCTACATCGCGGCCTGATACATCAGGCAGAGCCGGAGTATTGTAATCAATTACGATGTCTTCCATCTGTAAGACTAGCGCCCTGAATCGTCGGCATGCTGCTGCTCCTCGAAGAAAGTCTGGAGCATCTGGAAGCTTAGAAAAGATCTTCACCAGGGCATCGTCGAGCCAATCAAAAACGTTGTCGCTCCTCATCATTGTCTAGCTTGGTGCGAGCGATTACATTCAAAGATTTCCTATCTCTGATCCAATCACCGTTGTGCGCAAAGCAACTCAGGAAACGCTCACTTGCAGAGCCTCAAACGAGGGACCGCTCCGAAGCAGTGGTGGCTAAAACTGTGCATTGCATTGCACGGAACACTGAAGGGTTCTACCTAGGTACTTCGTAGATCTCAAACCGGTATGTAGGTAGCCGGTTCGACTTCACCGGGTAGAAGGAATTTGACGTCCACAGAGAACCGGCACGAGGCGGGGGCTTCGATTCCGAGCGCCAGCTATACATACAGCTAGTGTCACACCAAAAACCGGTCCCGTTACAACTGCTGATAGAGCCTCCCGGCTGTACCCGGTTCAAATCGCATTAAGCATTAGCAATTGAAGGTCCTTCTCAGTCTGTTCCCATCCTACAACCTAGGTACCTCAAACCAAAAATGTCAGGAAAGCGTTTGTGGATCCAGAAGACGCTGCAGCGACGATTGCAGTAGCCAGTACCACTCTTATGGGACCGCTTCGCATCATGTTGCTGATCCGCCACTAGTAGAACATTCTGAGCGCAAGTTGAGGAAGTCAGTTGGCTCAAGGCCGATGCATCATGTGGTGAAGTACAAGCTGGCACAGCAGACGGAGATGTACCTTCAGGAGTCCCCCGGGAGTTGAAGCAGTTGTCAGCTTTGAATAAGCCAAATCCAGCTGCCAAAGTGGGGCGCATCTTGCCTAATGATTCACAGGCGTCATCATGTTGAGGGGAGCTTTCAAGCTGGGCCCAATGAGCTACAGCGCAGCTTTCAGATCCTCTTGGCCGAGCAACCACCCTGGTGCTAGGATAGATGCGGTTGCAGGTCGTTCGGGGAACGCGGTGCTCGAACTCTCGCTTGCTGTATGGTGGCAGCTTTGCAAGCGATGGGAGACTCTTTCGCACTCACATTCACAGCTGGTTTTGGCACGTCCCCTAGCGTCCGCAGCTCTCCCTCTTGACCACACCCTAACTGATCCACCTAACAACCCCACTCTCTCTAGTGAGGGCAATGTCTCCACCTCTTCCAACACCTTTTCGATAGCAGCAATAAGCCCCTTCAGCGATCAAAAGTTTCTCGCGTCTCGTTCTTTGGGAAGCACAGCAGAGCGGTCGAGCTGGTGGCGCCCTCGCGAGCCCCCCCTTGAAGAAACTAGTGGGAAACCAATGGAGCCACTGCCAGTGTGGACTGACGCGTCGTACTTTGGGAATGATGGTCTTCCTCCTCCTCCAAAGCTGATGGCCAGCCAACTAGCGTGTATTCGTGGGGGCGAGGTGATCTTCAGAGACATCAATCTGAGCCTCCACAGCGGGAGTGCAGTAAATATGACGGGGCCAAATGGGAGCGGGAAGACTTCGATGCTGCGGGTGGTAAGTCTGCAGCATCGTCGATTGTATTTCGAAAGGCTGTGGAAAGGTGTGTCTTGTCTAGCTTTTTCTTAGCAGAGGCACCAGTCCATTGAATGGACTGCAGACTGTATACAGTGGCACCTTCCTTTACCATCTTCTATAGAGTAATCTGGCACGTCGTAGTCTATCTGTTCATCAAAAGCTACTTTTCCTAGTACTTTTAGAGCAACGTTCTTTACGACGCAAGCTCAGATGACTACCACCGCTGCAAATCGCGAGTGTGTACTGACTCAGCAGAAAGACCCTTCACGTTTTGCAGCTAACTCCATGGACCGAAATTTCTTGTGCTTATTAACTTTGTACGAGCCTTGCAAAACCCCTTGCCGTCTCTGCAGCTGGCAGGATTCATCCCACCAAGCGCAGGGAGACTGCTGTACGAGGGGGTGGATCTCAAGTCGGACACTGTCATTGAATGTGAGTGAACTGCAGAGAAGCGTTGATTTGCTGCTTGAGTCGTTCCGGGGGTGTGCCTAGAAATCCATGATGTTTCGCTGCAAGACAGTATGTTTTTCAGCTCCGTTTCATTGATCTTATGTAGAGGGTACTGGGAGATTGTTCTGCACTCGTTGTGATCGATTAGCATCATGCTTTCGATGAACGCCTGATAGAAATGAGCCTGCCGTTTCCGATTTCAGAGGAACGGCTGTGCAGAGCGAACACATTGGTATCTACTTGTCCTGCCTGACTTCGAAGTCATTGTAAGCAATGGTAAGCTGTGGCTTAACGAGCCTGCTAAAGCGCTACAATAGCACACAGATTTGAGAGCCTTGTCCTCTGTGTTTTGTATTCTCTTTCCAACCAAGCATGTCGCCTTAAGCGACTCAGCTACTAGCTTTCTCTTTCAGCATCTCCCTACTTACTGTTTGATGAAGTTTGTTCAGTGGTATTTCGGATCGTGTACACCTCAAACTTGGCATCAATTTGGCGATTTTCTCTTTTGGCAATTCGCACTTCGACTGCGAAAGCATGCCCCGACTTTGACTCCTTCTGTGTACAAGCTCCGACCGCAAACGCAAGCCTCAAGGTTGACACCACTCGTGCAGTGTGCGAATCCCAACTGCGAATGCAAAGCCCCAACAGTGACGCCATTCATGCCGAGTTCGAGCTCCGGCTGTGAACGCAAAAGCCTCAACAGTGACACCAGTCGTGCAGTGTACAAGCTCCTGCTGCGATTGCAAGCCTTGACGTTTGACACCATCCGTGCAGTGTACATGCGCGAGATCAACATCATGTTCGGCAAGGACGCCATCAAGCCGCGCTTGTCGGTCCACCAGAACGTCCACTTTTGGGCCACGTACGCGGGGCGCCCCGACCGCACCGACTGGGCGCTCGATAGAGTGGGGCTGGGACAGTGCGCACAGGACGTGGCTGCGATACTCTCCATGGGTCAGGTGAGAAGTTCGTTTTTTCTTCTTCGTACTTTTGCCTTCGTTAATGAACATCGTGAGGTAGTATTGAGTGAATTTGGCTGGGGTTTTTCGAAGGGCAACAGAGGTGCTTCATCACCTTCTCTTCTTTTCACTGTGTCGACCCTTGTCGTTCAAAAGAACGTCAATCCTGACGTGCTACAGAAAAGGATCGTGGAGCGTAGAGCTTCATCGACCGCCCGTGACATCTAAACGGAGCCTGTGTGGATCCTTGTGGTTTGGTTTTGTAGCACATCAGTAGGTCTCTGGTTCGTGTTCCCAGAATGACTTTCGTTAGGCTACTGTCGGTTTTCCTTACGCCCCTTTATTATTGCCCCCGGCGTCATCTCTTTATAGATTTTCCTGTCCACCAATGTCAGAGCTTGAATCTTTTGTCCTGGGTTTTCTCCGGAGTCATGCACAAAGATCTGGTCGCGGTGCTCCTAACGGGACGCACGAAGAAGCGTTCGTTTTTTTGGATCTGTCTCGAGGCGTGCTCAGAGATTGCCCTTCTGTCCCCTTCTTTGCTGCCTCTTTTCCGTCCTTTTCTTCTCGTGCCCATGTTTGTACTCGCTCCCTCTTTCAAGTCGCTCGGACTACTCCTCTTCTCGACCAGACGCTCCTGTTGTAGTCTAGCTTCCTTCACCGAAATAAAATGCATGAAGTGCCACAGATTTCCCTTCACGAGGTCCTCAGGCGGTTGCTGCCAGTACTGTCACCTAGTCGGGTGTCACGTCGCTTTCCTGAGAGTTGACTTCAGGCAAACTTCAGTGATTCTTTATCAAGTGAATGGCAGCCCAGAGAACAGTAGGCTTTTTGGGTTCATGGGAAATCTGACCCAAAAGATGACGTGCTCCGCACCTGTACCCATCAAAACCTCCTAGCTAAACCAACCCGTCCTACTTACCCCTCACTGGGCTTACTATTCACTAAAATGAGTGGGATCAATCTTTGTGCGTTTGCAGCGGCGGCGGTTACAATTGGCGCGGCTGCTGACTCTGCCCCGTCAGATCTGGTTGCTAGACGAACCGTCCGTTGGATTAGATACAGAGGTGAGAAGAACAAAGGCTCAGCAGCCCAAAACTTTCGTTGACAAACTCGCTTTTCGGGTTCCTGTCGTGTTCCTGACAATCTGCATCCTCTTACTTTTCAGTGACGGGCGTCGAGTGTAGAAAGTAAAGCCTAAGATCAGTTGGCGTCGTTCTTTCCTCTCTTCATTGTGACTCTTGCAAGCGCTGAATGTGACACCGTAGGTTTGAAGATGTGTTCCCTTTGGTTCCATGGCGTCGTTCGAGTCACTTCATGAGCCCACCTCTAGAATTGTTGAATTGCTGAATTGCCGAGGCGTCGCTCAGTATCCTGCTCACTCCTGTACTACCTTTTCCAGAAAGGCTGCCTTTGCTCAAAGGCGTTTAGGCCAGGTTTCTTTTCTGGCGTTCGGAAGTTATTCTCAACCGATACTTAGAGGGCGTCTAAACTCGGTAGCTACGTGTGTTTTCAGGCTGAACAAACCGCAGTCCAAACAGTCAGCAAGATTTGCTTTCAGGCCGTCCAAAATTCGACTGATCACGTAGCAAAGTCTGCTTTCGGCTTCCAAATCTGCGACCCAATACCTCACAACATTTCCTTGAGGGCGTCCAACCACCGTCTGAATATCTAGGATGATTCTCTCTCAGAGCGTTCGAACCTCTGTCTGGTTACCCGTCCGCACTTCCGTCCGAAAACCTAGGTACCTACGCTTGCTTTCAGGCCGTCTGATTCTCTGTCTGAAATTCTAGCAACGTTCGCGTTGAGGATGTCCGTCGGTTCGAACATCGGGCGACCCATGTTCTCAGGGCGGTGGACTTTGTTCCAACGCCGGGGTAGGAATGTTTGCTGTCCAAACGCCCGATCATCAAGCACCAATCGCTGTGAAGCCGAACCTCCGTCCAATCACCTAGCAACATTCGCATTCAGGCCGTCCGACTTGCCGTCCAAATGCTTCTTTTCAGGGCGTCCGAATCTTGGAGCAGCTGATCCACGAGCACCGGCTGCGGGGGGGCATCGTGTGCGTGGCAACGCACCTCCCAGTGCGCATGGAGAACGCTCTCCATCTGCGCTTCCCGGCCAGGTGAGCCCGCTGTAAAAGCGCGCGAAAAATGCCCTCCCAACTTTCGTTATCTTCAACGCCGAAATTTCTTTCTCATTGCGCATGGAGAACGCGCTCCACCTACGCTTCCCGGCCAGGTGAGCCGCTCCTAAGGTGCCCGTGAGATGTCCTCCCGATCTCATCAACATTTTTGCGGATCACCGCCGAGACTGCTCTCCTAGGGGAACGCGGAATATCTGCCCTTCCCGGCGTTATAAAACCTGCTACGGGATTGCCCTTCCGACCACGGTGCTCTGAGAAACGGCGTTCGAAAAAGCAGATCTGCCTGCGCTTCTCAGACAGGTGAGCCGCTGTAAAAGCGCCCGGGAGATGCCCTTCCAATCGTCATATTTCTTGGGCAGTCACCGGCGAATCGCTGTCCCTCGGCCAGGTGCGACTGCTGCACTGCCCGGGTATGATTCTCAAGACCTCTGGGCAGAGAGAGCACGATCGTGGGCCTATGGAGGTTCCTTCAGATCACGATGCGACCTTTCTCTGCGTGCTGTTTCAAAGATCGTTCGCCGGGATCTCCTTTCAGAACGCTGGACCCCATCCTTCGGGAAAGGGTTTTGTCCAAACACCCAACTTGTATGCAAGTCGTTGCCTTCTTCTCTACCCTGGTCTCAATCAATCGAACGGGACGCAAGCGCTGAGCTTCGTCCTTAAGCTTTGTCTATACCCGTTGATCCGCGAAAGCCTCGAGTTCTTCAGCTTTGTGCGTCGTGGGTCAAGGGCTCAGGACGAGGTTTGCGCTCAATGTTGAAGGAACGTTTTTTTCGCGTCTTCTCGTTTGGCTCTATCATCTTTCAGGGGATTACTTTAGGCACGTTTCGCTGAAAAGGATTCTGTTGCCGACTAACACAGCACCTTGACTTTGTAGATCCGCGCGGCTAAAGAGCGTGACGTGGGACGACCTTTGATAAAAGCGACTGCAAAGCCTTCCGAAGGATCAAGAACGCGCTCGCTTCGATCATGGGAAAATGTGTTGTCGTAGCAAGTTCTCCCGACGTTCAGAGACTGAGTGGATTACGATTGTCTTAACATTGGTCAAACATTCAGTCAACAAGGGACACGATGCTAGAGCCACTGTGCCAGCGAGATTTGAATGAGCACAAGTGTCAATGCGCGGTTGGAGCCTGATGCAGTGCGCCCTCCATTCTGCATCCGCCTTAACATTCGGGCAACTTCAAATGTCAAAGTCGACTGAAAACAAGCCACAGCTGCGACGGTGGCGTATATAGACACCGCGTATTCGATTGCAACTATATAGTTAGTTCATAGGGCATCATATGTTTTCACGATCCTGCAATAGTGGATCGATGCAAGTGACGGCGAAGTCAACATAGCTAGGCAGCATTGATCGTGAGAATTGTACTGAACAGGTTATCCGAAAATCCTATATGCATATCTCACTGCAAAACCATTTTTCTACGGCCTTTTGGCAGCGAGACCACATGCGCGGCCGCCCGGGCAAAGCTAGTCATTTTAGCTAGCATGAGAAGTTAGATTGAGCCGCGCTGGCATACAAGCAGCACGCAGAATTTTGCAGGCGGCATCGCCAGAGCCTGGTGCGAGTGACTGTTTGAGTGCTGGTACGCATTAATGTATTAGAGCAACGGTGCAGTGCCTTCGTTGCAGCTAGCACATTGAATTGTCGCTTGCACTAGATTATGTTCAGGGACAAAAGCCGACCACGGAACTTCCGACGGGCTGCCATGGCGCAAAAGTAACCGCACAGACGTTGCAAACACACCTGCTGCAAACACAGCTCCTTCAGTTGGTTTCTATCAGCTACGATTAGACTCGGGCTTCGATGGTTAGCCGCCGAATTTGTTGTACATGCGTTTGGCGCCTTTTAGCTTAGTCTACACATGACATCGCAACCTGACTGGGCACCATCAGCGGCGCTAGACCTTGACCCTTGTACCTTCCCGCCCCCTAAAAATATCCCCATGACTTGTGTGCAGAGTGTTCCTCGACCTCTTTACAACAGACACGACCTCGAGACGAGGTTCCGCATCCCGTGCCTAGTCATCCCAAGCGTCGTCTGCTACGCCCTTGTCTTTGTCCTTGCTAGTAGACGAGAGCGCGAGCATGTGGCGGAATTTGTCATCAACCGAAACGATGGACGGCCCCGTAGCAACTTGGGAGCCACTCTTCATGGCGGCGACCGCCTCGCGCTCCTTTGCTCTCGCCGCCTGCGAAAGCGCATCACAGATGGAGTGTCAGCGTATACGCACCCTGGCAAAGATGCTTCCGGTTCACAGAAGAGCGAATATGCGAGACTTCGTCGTTGAGAAGGCCCTGAGCGGCGGCTCACCGATGAAATATAGACTGGAGTAGCTGCTGCGGAAGTGACGCAAAGTCTGACCCCAAACCTTAATGCTTCTGAGTCTTGAGACTGGCTTGTAAAATTAACGAGATAAGAAAGTTAGGCAATTTCAAGTTCAGAAGTGCTAGTACCAGTGACGATAGGAAGGCAGGACGGGAAGGGCGAAAAGCAAAAGCAAAGGTACGTACCTTTCCGGTCGCAAACGCCATGGTGTTGCCAGCCTCCACCTCCGCTAGAGCCCGCTTGATCTGTGCCACGAGATACTGCAACAACGGACGGAAACGAAAAGGGTCAACGGTGTAGAAAGAAACAGAGGAACGGACTAGAAAATTGGGCCACGCGTCGTCCGAGCAGAAGCGGATATAACGGACCTGTATGTTCTCAGCTTTGGTTATTTTCTTACCGCATCTCGTTCCGTGTGGAACGACGTGGCCCTCCCGGACGCCCCCGCTCGACCCGTCCGCCCGATCCGATGCACGTAGTCCTCAAGCGTCTTTGGCAGGTCCATGTTGATGACGTGGGCGACACCGCTGACGTCCAATCCGCGTGATGCCACGTCAGTCGCTACCTGCGGCCATTTTCCGTGAATGGTATCAGATCTGCCCTCATCTTTGAAACAACTTGCCCCGCCCATCTTGCCTGCCGTTTGACTTCCAAAAATATGACCTTCCGCAAATTCTGGCCGATCCTGAACTTAGCGGCTCTGGTGCTTGTCGGCAAGCAGCCACTGAAAGCCCTTCTCAAAACGTGACGCTCAACATCATTTCTGCTTCCCCGGGTGAAGTTGCATCTGTTCATAGCAACCGGCTACGACGGGATTGGCCGTCGAGCTTACATGGGCGACCGAACGTAGAGAAAAGATCGCCCACGAATAGATTGCAACCTTGTGAGAAAGACAGATGAGGGGAGGCAGCCTCTGCTTCGTAAGATCCGTTCGACACTTTGACGACAGAGCATGTTTCGGTGCCTGCTAAGCCGTTCATGCCTGTCATGCTAGCCATACAATCTCCTGCACTGAGTTCCTGCCAACCGCCTCAGAGAGATTGACGACAAGCACACGCAAGTTACAAGCAAGCCACCCTTCGAGAACCAAACCCGTCGAGAATACAATCACAAGCCTAGTGAAGCAGTCTGTCAGAACAACAACTCCAAGAAAACCCAACAATAGCACCGTCGCTGCTCGCCCGTCTCACCAGGATGTTCCGGTCCCCTTTCCGGAAGTCCCGTAGCGCGGCCTCCCGCTCCCCCTGGCTCCGGCCCCCGTGGATCGCCACCGCGCGCAGGCCCTGCGCCGTCAGCGCGTCGGCTATCTCATCGCACTTTGTCTGCAAATGAGTGGAAAAGCCATAGGAGTTTTTAGGAGTCTTTAGAATGTGCCGCTGACAGAAACCGGTAGTTGTAGCTTTTTCAGCGGCTTGCCACATCCGCAGAAAGAGCAAGAAAGGCCTTGTCAGCAGAGAGAGCAAGCATGAAAGGCCTTGTCAGCGAAGAAAAGCAAGCACGAAAAGCTTTTTCCTGGGGACGCACACCGTTCCTTGTCGCACTTGGCCTGTAAACGAGCGGACAACAAGCTACTTAGCACGAAACAATTTGTGAAACAGCTGAGCAAGTCAATAGGATTAAGTCATGAGGAAAAGTTCGGAGCCCTGAAGGCAGAAGCTTCGCCGGGGGGTGAACGGCCTCACCTTTCGTTCCACAAACACTATCGTGAGGGGCTGGGGCTGCTGATTACTCTCCGCCGCGTTTGACTCCTCAACCAACAAGGCAAGCAGCGTCTCCAGCTGTAACGCGCAAACGAACCCAATTCAGCACAGGCCCAACATGGGTTCGATGAGGGTAACTCAAACGTACAATTGTTCTTACTGACGATCCACCCTGCAGCGGGTGGACGTTCACCGGCAACTCTTTTGCTCCTGCTCTTCTTTTACTCTTATCGATCTTTCAACCAGATCAGTACTGAGGCACCTTGGAATGCAATTCCGAAGTCATCATCGAACCGTTCTCGAACGAATTTCCGGTTTAAGCTAGGGGGCTGAACGATTATAATGACATCTCAGCATCTCAGCAAAATCAATGGTCGAACTCGTAGAACCTTACTGGCTCACTTTAGCAGGTCTGAGAACAAATCGCCCAACTGCACGCAGCGGCTCACCTTTTGGGGCTCGGGAATCTTCTCGAGAGACTGCGTGACGTTGGCTGTGGGGCTGCTGACGGTGCCGACCTTAACCCTTACCGGCTTATCCAAGTACTCCTGAGAAGAATCGGCAAACACGGTCGTTAGTACTGGTTAGCGCTGAAAGAGACTGGAAAGCTTACCGAGATCTGCACTCGAGATCTCGCTGCTGCCGCAACCAAAATACAAACAGTGTGTTCGACTGAAAGCCGCTTGCAAACGTGCTGGAATGCCCCATCTCGTTTCAACTAGTGAGAAGTCGTTCAACGCTTCCTGAAAGAGTCGCCACTCTGACACGTGAACTACTCTCGCTGACTAACCAGAAAACATCTATCCGCGATAGTGCTTGCGCGCCGAGCTTTTAACCTGTCCAGAGAATTTCAGTTGCGAGTCAGCCGAATTTGGAGTATGGCAGACCTGACATCAAGAACACTCGGATGAGAGGCGTTGGGAGGCCCACCTGAGCGAGCGCCTCAATCTCTGTTGGCATCGTCGCACTGAAGAGCAGCGTCTGATGTCGCTTGGGGAGCCCCATCATCACCTGCAGCAGCAGAGGGCCTTTGATGAGCTCCCGTTCCCACATACTGCTGCTTTGATTCCCTCGAGAAGAAAGTCACTGCCAAACAGCACTCCACCATCGTCTCGTTCCGCAAACAGGTTTGTCTGACGTGCTAGATCCCAGTCCCCACGTTGAAACAGAGAACCGCGCAACCCTGGACCGCCAAGTAAACGACTTGCCTCTCGGATCTGCGGCTCGAACCCCATGTCCAGCATACGGTCCGCCTCATCGAGGACGACAAACGAGATGCGATGCAGGTCCGTGTTCCCTTGGTGCAAATGGTCGATGAAGCGCCCGGGGGTCGCTACCACCAGCTCGACCCCCCCCCTCAGCTCGCTCGCCTGGTCCCCCATGTGCGTCCCCCCCACGACGATGGACGACTTGAAGCCCTTAGAGGAGCGGGTGAATGCCCGGACCTGGAGAAACGAAGTAGGATCTTATTTCAGGAAAACGGCGATCTCTGCCAAGTGTCAGACTAGTGCCGAGCGGGCAATCTGAGAGGTCGACTTCTGCTAGAGAAGATGGCTCTCCAGCTCAGTACCGATTCGGTCAGCGTTCCCGAACCCTTTCCTCGAGCGTTTTGAAACGGACCTACGCTTTCTGACAGCAACCAATGTCCCACAATCTGAAGTCGCATTCAACCAACATCTGGCAGGCAGTTCCAGTATCTTACGACCCTTCCAAGCGCATCCCAGTCCCATGCTGAGGACGGCTACCTGGCAAAGGTCCATTCAGGGGAACATGCAACTTTCCTGGATATCATATTGATCGGACTGCGAATTGTTCATGCGGGCCTCACCTCCTTTTCAATCTGCTGCGCAAGCTCCCTCGTTGGTGCCAGCACAAGCGCGAGCGGGCCGTCCCCACGTTTCACAGGGGGCTGAGCGAGGCAGTGCTGTAATGACCAAAGAGCGCAGTTTCAAACCTTGACAAGCGGGCTTTTGCCTTTTTGCAGATGTCATAACATCTGTCCCGGACTTGGCATAACTCTCAAAATCTGGCGAGGCTTGATCATATTGCTCGCAGCACTCTTTCAGGAATTTGAAGAGTAAGGATAGCTGGTTTGATACATCACAGAGTGCGCTCCTACTTGAGAGTTGACATTGAGGATGAGCACTTGTAGTTGCAGTTGCGACAAGGGTTTGCCATCTAAAACCACTCGACTCATTACATTCCTTCCCGCCTTACAGCGAAACAACAACCAAGGAGAATTGCCAGCCGCAGATTGGTTGCAAGCTCCTTGTGAAACGGCCAACTGAGCTGTCCAAGCACTTTATTGGCTGCCTTCGAAGAGGTGATCAATGACCCTAACGTGGCTGCACAGAAGGAGCCGCACCCGCAAGCTATCGTTTAGACCGACTGGATTAGACAATTTTGACAACCTTCCCAAAACTTCGCGGCAGCTGTGTTTTGAGAGAAAGCATGGACAATGTTAAGTACCTGGATCATAGGAATAGCGAAGGCCGCCGTCTTTCCGCTGCCAGTCTCGGCGCACCCCAAGAGGTCGCGGTTTGAGAGAGCAACAGGCATTGCTTGGGCTTGGATGGGGGTGGGGTTGGTGTATGAGTGGAACGTGATGTCCTTCATGATGTCACTGTTCAACCCCTGCGCAAGGTTGACCAGTAGAGAATTCAACGGAGGCAAGTTGAGAGAAAAACATGAAGGTGACGGAACAAGTTTTACTTTGAGCGATGTGCGAGCAGCACTTGCCGAGGCCGTCAGCATTGCAGATGGAGCTGGAAGGCCGCAGGTGCAAGCTAGCCCTTGCGAGTGCTTTCAAGAAAGGGCGGCGTCACAATTGAGGCTGTTGACGATACGAATACCATGGCACCATAGATCCATGAATCTCCCAATTCTGAAAGTTCTTGCAATCGCATGGGTACGAGGGATCTTCTGTGAAGTCCGGCATATATACCGCCACTGAAGTTTGAAATGCAACAAGAAGTGCGTGGGGAGAAGGAGCACTCACAATATCACCGAATGACTCCACTGCCGCAGGGGCTTCGGGCGTGCCCGGCGTGACCTGAACGTCGATGTTCAGTCGCTTCCGGACATCCACAATCTGCAGCAAGTGAGAAAGCCGCATCATTCCGCAATATGCCAGCTGATGTATCAGAGCAGATTGATTGCTCTTGTGCCACCTCGTTCTTGCATCAGAATAAGTGGTGCCATAAGCAGTCAAATGACTTGTGCAGAAGAAGGTAGGGAAATGCAGTGCATAAGATGAAACAAAGGATGTGATTGATCATCTAGTGGTACTGGCTGAGGGTGGTTATGCAGATCAGAGAAGGAGGGACTCAATTCGTATCCAGCCGCTGCATCAACATATCCACTTGGAGACTCTACTACAAAAATATTACAGTTTGAGTGGAACGTCTCTCTGTCAGCTGAGTGGCTTGCAGAGGATCTTAACAGGTCCAAGATCTCAGATTTACATTGGATTCATGTTCTTAAGAATCTCACATGGTGGAATTTTCCAAAGTCCTCCTTGCATTCTTTGCTAGGCAGAACGCATTGGTAATGGTCACAGTCTGACTCCCACAATCCTCCTTCATACTCAACGTGGATCACTCGATTGACCTCAAGCAATCCCACAGGAACCACCTACGACAATATGCATGATTACAAACCCTTCATCATACCTGCTCTGGTGTAAGATCGGAAACCCTTTGCGATGGCTTCCATGTCTCCCAGACAACCTCCGGCGGACCCGCCGACCGCCGGCTTACGTCTCTGCCAGGCAAGGGGCCATCCCTGCTAGAAGGCCTGCTCGAACTCCCCCCCGATGCTGGCGCCCCGTTGCTGCGATCATCCCTTCGGGATCCAAAGCTGCTGCCGTAGTCCCTGCTGACAGGCCCGTTGCTGCGCCCGAAGGAGTTTGCGGGAGGAGGAGGGGCGCTGTCCGCCCGTCCTTCGCGCAAATGAGGGGGCACGTATGGCATGCTTTGAGCTGTGCAACTCCTACTACCGGGTTGAGAATGCCAAGTACGCACTTGCTTGTGGATTCCTGACCTGCAGAATCTCGTCAACTTTGAAAGTGGAATCTGATCGCTCTTCTGAAGGAGAATACCTTTGACTCCGACTGCAGAACGCCTTTCGTGCGGACGCGCCTGGAAAGCTAGTGCCAGTGGCTGTTGGCAGTGTCAGTGTATGTTTCTGAGTATGAACCTGATCAGACCCGTGTCCTGGATCGCCTAGAGTCAGATGTTTTACACCCCGCCTGTCGGAGTGCAGGTCATACAGAGTTCTGGTGCTGCTGTCGAATGGGGTAGGGAGAAAGCGGAAGTGCTTTCTTTTGAAATGTGCATTCCCTCCCGAGTCCCTTGATCCAAGTTCCAAGTTCCTGCCTCCTTCCTGCTTCCTGGGGCTTCATTGGCCTCACACTGCAGGTTGAGGCAGCTGACCGGCGGCCATTCAAGCACCCGGATCGTTTAGGTATGGTCCTGTAAGAGTTGCTGCTCTATGCTGCTATGCTGAACAGCTTGCTTGCACCATCACTCTGCCTTGCTAACAAGAACCAGCCCCCTGGAACTGAGAACGCAATGGCTGCATGCCTCAGTTGTATGGTCCGGCTGCCATTGAATGGTCGAGCATGTTTGCGGGATTCGTCACGTGGTTCCGATGCTCTTCCAAGAGTACTGGCTTTCCGTGGACCGAGCGGCAGCTCCATTGCAGACAGCATTGGCATCCACTTTCAGCACAGATTGCTGTCAGCAGAGCCTAGCGAAATGCAGCAACAAAATTGGGAACCACTGCCACCACCTCGATTAAGTGGGGCTACAAGTGCAGGCAATGACAACCGGCGAGAGTCACAATCGCAACAACTTCTCAGAATCGATTCAAGCGCACCTTGCACCAATACTGTGAGGGAACTCCCAACCACCGCTGGCGCTGATAGCTTGCAGGAAGGTAGCCAAAGGGGTAGTCAAAAGATCGATATGTTTGAGACAATTGAAGATGACAGCGGCGCCAGAGGAGACTGCTTGGCAGTTGGTATACCTGGCGTCCTCAAGATTCCGGTCAAGGATGGGGGGACTGCTCCTCCACAATCGGTTCGTTGGAATCCGTGGTCACTTTCTCCTGGCAAGCGAAGGCGCATTGTGAAGACTGAAGTAAGCGGCCCCCTGTAACCTCGATCCTAGACGATGTTGCCTGCTTGATTGCTGGGAGCTTGGCTGAGTTACCAGTCCCAGACGGAGAGGCTTTGTCAAGATTGCCAAGTTTCTCCGTTGTGCTGAAATAGTCAAGAAGCCTGCCAAACATAGTTGAGCTGAACACTGATTGGGTGGTATGCACCAGATGGACCTCACCTGAAGGTCAGGACTTTCTGCATTGAACCTTTCAAAGTTCCGGGACGAGGATGGGTGGTAACTAAAGGCAAGAGCACGTCTGTAGTTACTCTTGGGTCATTAAACAATGCCTTTCTAAACAGGGCGCTTCATTGTGCAGTCAAATGTTCAACGGATGCGGAGAAAGCGGCCCCAACCAGAGTGCTCAATATGCGAAGGGAGCGGAAAAGTAGAGTGTGACAGGTGTTGTGGCCGAGGTTAGCAGCCGAACACGATGCCCTCTTGCCTTGTCAAGTCCATATGTATAAGGCTGACCATGGTTTTGAGAATGGACTTAATCTGCACCAGGCCTTGTCGATTGTGACTCGCTTGGAGTTAAGAGCTATATCATGGGAGCTATATCATGGTCCTAGGTCAGCATCTTTTGTTGCTGGTTATCTGACCATTGAAATACTGCTAAATGCAGGGAGGCTAAACCATACGAACCTTGCTATGCTGCCAAAAGGAGAGTGGCCGCAATGGTGAGTTTGGTTACATCGCCGTCCTTGCTCTTGCAAATATATTTCCAGGTTGACGTGAACCTTGTGGAGGGCCGAGGCAGAATTATAGTCTGAGGTTCAGCGTTTCAATTTGTGTGCTGTTATGCTTTCTACCCAATGTGATTGCTCTGAGATCTGTTGAATGCCATCTTGGCATGCTTGTGTCTGTGCAGGTGTTGGTCTTGTCGTGGTAGTGGACTAGCTTTCTGCAATCGGTGCCTCGGGACAGGTGAAAGGAGGGGACTGATTGGGTTCCGGATGCCTGAACCTGGAGATCCTGATTTCTAAAGTTCTGATCGAGGTCTAGACACTCTGTACATAAGTGACAGCCAAGCACTGTGCATTGTTCTTTAAACGATGTTTGGAGAGCCCCGATTAATCCCAAGCGGGACTTGCAATCAATTGAAAGGCTTCTTCTGGTTTTTGACAGTGTTGTCTCTGTCAGATGTGTGATCGAAGGTGGCCAGCCCAAGGTCTGGTCGTCCATGCCTCAACCCCGCAAGCCTTTGTCACTTTTGCAGCTTCCCATACGGTCAACACCAGGTTAACGAAGTGTGGCATCCCTTGAAAGGCCGTGGTTTTGGGGCGGCCATCCGTTGTGACATGGGCATGTCTCTTGGCAAACCATTACTCGATCAGCATGTATATGTTGCGATCCATGAGCATGTGCACCGGATTTGAACAGAATAAAACGGTAATCAAACCTTCATGCATCCCATCAAGGATTCCACAAACATCCATCTAATAGGCAGGCAATATTGAGCAACTGACTCGGAGAATGCATGCACAGCCATCTTGAGGCCATGCGCGCATCCTCTCAAGGGAATCTTGAATTGTCTATCGAGATTGATCTAGCACATGTGCAATAAGGTTGAAACATGGGACCCGATCATGTGGGCGCTGGCCCACTGATGCACCCACATGCAAGGCTGGCCGCCCCATGCCAGAACTGGTGCTTTTGGTACTTCATTACATGCCCGGCCAGGCCATCATGGTTCCGACTGTAGCTTTACAGTGTAGCTTGAGGTGCTACAAGCACGAATAGCCTGAATTCAACAATACATGAGGACCCTTTCCGGCACGCGAAGCAACTGCGTTCGTATCTTGAGCGTTGTGTGGTGTCGAAGAGGACCAATCAATCAATAAACTGGAGCCAAACAACCTGCCAAACTCAAGCACTAGAAACTCGAATTGCAGTCATTATACACAAGTGTATATAGCAGATAATTGCGGCGCACTGTATCTTATTCCTAGGATTAGTGGGAACAGCCTAACGAGCTTACGAGAACTGCGCATGCAACTCGCTCCCTAAGGGCAGCCCGTGACCTTCCGCTGGATTCATATGTTCCACGAACCGAATCCATGTCTGCAAGCTAGCGTCTCGCTGACCATCTTCTCAGAAGGCTCTATGCATAACTTAGCTGAACGGCGAACAGTCTATACTTGCGACTTTGCATTTCCACTTTCCTTTGAGCCCTCTACCCCGTCCTTCTGCACAACCGCCTTGACGGCTGGCCTCTTGCTGATCTCCCCAAACTCGTCAAAGTCCGTCGCGAACCACAGGTTCCTCTCAAGGAAGCGCTGCTTCTTGACATCATGCCCAATCACCCAGTTGTTGTGGACCAGCTTGGAGAGCTGACCGTGGGCCTCCCGCCAGGTGTCATTCTTGAAAAAGAGAGGGCCGGGGGGGAACTCTTCCTGAGAGAGGATGCCAACCTGGACAAGACAAAGACATTGAGACTGTTAGAGAGACAATGACTGTGAAATGCTCAGAGAAAACTGTCACCGTTGAGGACACCTGCAGATAAGAGGTTCCCCAACTCACAGCGTTGTAGGGGCATTGCCGACAAAAAGCGGATAACTCTCAAGGAACAACCAGAGAGGAGGAATCTGAAGCATACGGAGACTTGGCTAGCGGCTTTTGACCAAATAGAGATGCCTTACTTGAGCTAGGGTCTGAGCAAACGTTCCTGATAGCTGCTGTGCTTGCGTTCAGGCGGCGCTTCAGATGAAGCTTGTGCCTCTCTTAGAAGGAAGCTGTTTAGGTGCTTACTATCCCCAAATTCAAGCTATTCAATACATTGCACTCGCTCTATGAAAACTGTAACCTTTTGACAGACAAGCAATCTCTACGTAACAGCACCATCCTGAATGACGGAGCGCCATTGAGAACTAAAAACCGTAGCCTCTGCGCATGGCACACTTCTCGAAATTGTAACCAAAACCTTTCTGCGTGGCACACCTCTCAGAACTACTGAGTGCAGCCTCTCTGCAAGGCGCTTGAAAGTGGCATGATGTGACGTGTCACATCACTGTCACATTTCTAGGATACAGCATCCCCTCTGCCGATGGGAAAAGCCAAGACAACGTTCTATCTCTCTGGACGCTTCACCTTAAAGCTCTCAATGTGCATGCCAGCACTGCTAAAACGAGCCCGTGCCAAAACGAGTAAGGCATTTCGTGGACTTTGGCTCTTTGCTTGCCTTCTAGAGCTTGTGCAATGGGCTTTGACATTACACGGAATAGTTCCTCAGCATTGCACTTTTCCTGTGGTCGAGTCATCATCTTGCCATCGAGACAGAGGACAGCACTATGCTTGAGCTGATGCTATTTATGTCCCTGAGCGCTGAGCAGACATTGCACAATTGACTGCATGCAGAAGAGGTGAAACTGTCCGAGGGTTGCTAATGACAACCGCAAGGTCAGACCTTTATTTAAGAACTACTCTGACAGAGAGCCTGGCGAATTTGAACCACAACACCGTTGGTGGAATTGCGTGAGACGGTTCTCGGACAGAGGATCGCCACCATGGAACAAAGTGGCATCTCGTGAATCTCCCTAACAAGATTCAATGCAAGGTCAGAGGAATCCGAGCACTGAACAAACTAGAAGAGGGCGGTGGGTGCTCACCCTGGTATCTGTGAGGTTGTTCAGGGCTTTGTTGAAGAAGGGCTGGTCCTGGATGGGGGGCTTCCAGTCCTTGAGGCTCATGATGTCGGCCCAGAATTGCATCAGGTTGATGGACGCCTTGGTCGCCCGCAGATAGATCAGACAGCTGCAAATGTTCCTCCAGTAGCGGGATGGGAACACCGTGTCCCGCTTCATCTGTGTCGTGACCCCCCCGGTGATCCCATTCCAGTCCTCCCAGTCGTCCTGGACCCAGACATCATAGTCCCCGGACATGGAGGGAAAGGGGTCTGCCAGCCATACCATGTCCAGGTCGTTGTAAAAGACATTCACCCCCAGTTGGAGAATGGCTCGCAGGTAGTCTGGCCGCCGCTCAGTCATGAGGAAGAACCCCAGCGACCCAAAGTCGTGCGCACTCCCATTGGCCTTTGGGATGTAGCTCGAGTGGTACTTGACCACGTGGCCGGGCCATTTTGAGTTGAGCGCATTGTAGGCCTCGTCATCCTCGGCAAACAGGAGGATGCGGTCTGCAAACCCGACCTTCTCAATGCTCCGGATCCAGTTCTCGCAGAAGTCCAGATACCCCGAGTTGACTATCGAGACGATGACTGTGTTGTCTACCGCGACAGCCTGCACGGCCTCTGCTAGTGTTCTATCCTCCTCCTTGGGATAGGTGACACTAGTGATTACGGTGGGGTGAATGCTGCCAATGGTCACTGTTGTCACAGCCCCCGTGCCGCCCCGAACAACTTGGACCTGAAGAGTTCTGAAGCACAGCCAGCAAAGCAGGATCCCTGCGGCAATATTGAGGAGCACTTGCGTGCGGAGAATTGAGAGGAAGGATCGGTGGATTTTGTGGGCCATGGTCCTGCCATTGCTTCCAGCATAGGTTGCTTTGCTGAACCCCGTCTCGCCAAGGGTCGGCAGATGGTCTGCCGAAGCGACTACCCTCATTCTCGCTGCTTAGAGATCCAGATCCGACCAGCCAGCCAAACAAACACAAGACACAGGCTGAATGCTGAGACCTGCGTGCTCATCCGTTGGGCCGTCCTCTGAACCACAAACCTCACAGAATGTAATCACTCCAAAGGGCTTATTCGCAAAGGGGCGCTTCCAGAGGCATACAGATTCCCAAAACCTTTCAATGGCGGCCTCATTACCTCGTACTATCATCTAGGTAGTATAGCCTTGTTGCATGGCGCCATTGGCATTTGAACGCCCCATTTCCAAATGGTTCAGTGTCCAAATACCTACGCGGTAGCATGAGGCCTGATGACGAAGGTGACGGTGAAGTCTGTGCACCGGTTTTGAATACCCACGGGCCACCTCTCTTCTTTTGCGCTCGGTGCAACAGTTTCGTCGTCGAAGTAAGTCGGAATGGCGTAAAGTTCGCATTGCAGTACCGGTCCTGAAACACCCTCTCAGTCACTTCGACGAGCATCGAACTTGCTGGGCAAGAACCACCTCAATGGTCACAGCGATCGAGGAATGGTCTTGTGTGTCGTATCCCACTTGGGCCATCGGGGGGTACCGCTTTCTTCGATGCTCGACCGACGCGAACCAATTCGGTGCTCTATAGCGCCCTCTTGGCTGAGACAGCTGTCCAATTTAACATGATTGCATGGCTGCCGGCCCCGAGAGTTGCTCCAGTTGACTTGAAATTCAGCACATCTTCAGCCAAAGTTGACCGGGTCGAGCCGCGAGCGAACTTCCGGTTTGTGGTCAAGGACTCGAGTAGGTACCTAGCCGAGCTTGCCTACTTGCAGCTACCGTACCTGTATTTGATTTCGGCACTTTCGACGCAAAATGGTTAATTATGAAACGTTTATACCTTTCAGCACGCTCGACGTTACCTGCTAAAATAACCATTATCGAACCATTATCGCCCCAAGATAATTTCTGAAATTTTCAGCCGGCCAAATAATTATTTAAATTTCGCCGAAATCAAATACAGGTACGGTATATAGAAGGTATAGCCTAGGCTCCAAGGTGCTGAGGTCCGTACCAACTGTTCCAGGTACCTACCTACCCACAGCACGCAAGCTTTACCGTCAATTAATAATTTAATACCGATCGATGTAACCGCGCGGTCCAAGCCACCGGGACCAGTCTGGTCAATGGTATCACTCTCGACTATCAATTAACTTGACGGTTAACTAACTCAGCCGGCCGGTTAGCGTTGAGATTAAGCAGCTTCCGCGGACCGGGACCGGTGGCCCGTGGGGTTAGCTACATGGTAAACATAAATATAGGGTGGTGCGATTGAGCGTTGTGCCAGGGGCTTCTGCCCGTGGAGTCGGAGGGACGGTACCAGCCCTGACTCCTGAGCCCAGGCTACCTACCAGGGGTTCTGGCGGGGCGCCAAACGGGGCGCAGAGCGCCCCGGGGCAAATTCTGGCGCCCCCGGGCGAAAGCGCGGGGCGCCAGAGCGCCCTGGGCCGCAGGCCCCGCCTGCTTTCGGAAAATCAGTTTAAATTTAGGTCAGAATCGGGCCGCCTCAACCGGGACCTCTGAACTCTGAATTGTTTTCAAAACAAAGTACAGAATATAAGACATTGGTTTGCACTTATTAGGACCCAAGTAGTCCCCATAGCGTTTCAGAAGCTTGTAATAAGCACTAATTGCTGAACATAAATACGATACAAGCAGGGTGCCAGTCGAGCCCGTGGAAGACAGCCTTCTAAAGTGATATGGTCCTGTGAAACAATATAGTTGCGTGGCTTCGCATCATAAGAAGCGCTGTTCCTTTTTACCTCCTTTGGATATGGGGGCTCGGGTTCTTTGACCTCGTGCAGACTGCTTGTACCGTAGAAGCCTCAAGGACCGGTATGTTCAAAATCTTGTCGACCTCGAGCTTGATATCCCCCTCGGGGCTCCGCCCTCGGGGAGATATCAGCTCTCGTTCGACGCGAAACCATCGATATCGCCGAGCTCTCATGGTATAACTACTACACACGGTTTTGCGGTTTCGCCGAAACCCTGGGAGCCACTTGTACCGGGGGCCCGCGCCCGGGCCCCGGCTGGCTTGGGCGCCCCAGGGGAGCTGGCCGGCGCCCCGGGGCGAAGCCCAGGGGCGCCACAGCACCTCCGGGCAAAATCCTGCTAGAACCCCTGCTACCTACTACCCGGAGCAAACAATCGTAAATAGAAGGGAGTGTGAATAAGATAG